ATCCAAGAGGTGTGTGACATGTAGCTGGCTGCCCTCGTTATAAGGTCCCTCAGAGCACGCACCTGGTCAACCCAGCCGCCCAGCCCCACGGAATCCATGAAGTCCTTCACGCCCTTCCCGCCGTCCTTGCTGGTTGCCGTCCGGAACTCCTCCCGCGCCTGCTCTGGGTCGATCTGCGGTAGGGGAAGGCGGAGGAGAGGGAATTGGAGAAGTGTGTCGGCTTGTGCAGTAAGTCCTTAAGCCTTTTACTAGGATCCATGAAGTCTTTCACGCCCTTGCCGCCATCCTTGCCTGCTGCAGTCCGGAACTCCTCGCGCGCCTGCTCTGGGTCGATCTGCGTAGGGAGCCAGGAAGGGCGTGCAGATCGACCCAGAGCAGGCACGGGAGGAGTTCCGGACAGCAACCAGCAAGGGCGTGCGAGGAGAGGAGGTGCAAGGCAGATGGGGTGCAAGGAGCGGGCGACCATGAAATCCTTTGCGCCCTTGGGCCCATCCTCGCTCGCTGCTGTCCGGAACTGCTTGTGCGCCTCCTCTGGGTCGATTTGAAGGAGAAATCCAGGGAGTGCGTGCAAGGTAGGGGGTGCTTTTTGAAGAGATGCAAGGTACGGAACGCGAGGAAGACAGGGTCAAGGTAGATGGGTGCAAGGAACGGGCGACCACGGAAGTCCTTCACCCCCTGCACCCGTCCTTGCTTGCTGCAGACCGGAACTCCTAGCATGCCTGCTCTGTGTCAATCTGCTACGTCAAAAAAGGGATGGGGTGCAAATTGAGAGAGGGAGGATGGGTGCGTGTGTGTTACACATGATCGTGCCATCCAAAATATCTCCTTCCTCATTTACTAAACCTCCCAACCCCGCCATCTTCCCCCCACCCACCCCCAATCCCTCCCTGCCTACAGAAAACTATCTCCCCCCGTTACAGTCACATCGTCCGTTGTACTCACCTCCATGGCGAACAGAGGCAGGTCGGTGCCCTCCACAGCCATAGGAATCCCCCCCGACACGTCCTGAGGAAAAGAGGGGGAAGGGGGAAGGGGGAAGGGGGGGAAGGTCGGTAGAGATGGGGCAAAAAAGAGGTCAGCACGAGAGGAGGGGCAGATCGGCTCCCTCGACAGCCACAAGCTTGCCCCCTGACACGCTTTTCTGACCGAAGTTCCTCATAGGGGGGATTCGGAGAGTGGCAGGAGTGAGCATGGGGGCAAAGGGAAAACGGAGGGAGCAGGGGGACAGAAAGCAGAGGGAAACGGGAGTGGCCTGCGGGGAACAGCAATAGAAACCTGGGGGGAATAGCACACCTGAGCAGGTAGGGATTTTCCAGTTCCAGTGCAGAGGATGCACCTGAGCTTCACCTGTGCCACGGAATCGCTGAGCGAATGCGCCGGATTGGTGAAAACCACGAGCGTGCAATGGCCCTCGTTGGCGAATTTCACCGCTAGAGCTAGAGCTGTGGACACACTGGTCTTCCCCTCCCTAAGCATGTCTCCAAGCATGTCTCCAAGCATGTCTTCCTCGTATCCCCCACCATCATCCGAGGTTCCAGAAAACCTACCTGAGCGAACGAGTCGCTGAGGGAGTGGGCGGGGTCGGTGGAAACTACGAGTGTGCGATGGCCCTCGTTGGCGAATTTCACTGCGAGAGCCGCCGACACGCTGGTCTTCCCCACGCCGCCCTTTCCCCCCACCATGTAGTACTTGCGCGTTCTCCCCGCTACCATCTCGTCGAACCCCGCTGCTGATGCGCGCACTGGGGAAAGGAAAGGGGGAGAGGGGGAGAGGGTGGGGGGGGGAAGGGGGGGCAGGGACCAAGGGAGGAAAAACTAGCGTCAAGGCCCCCCACCATGTGGTACTTGCGCGTCGTCCACGCCACCATCTCGTCGAGTCCCGCTGCTGATGCGCGCACGGGGGAAAGGGAGGGGTGGGGGAGGAAGGGGGGGATAGGGGGAAGGGGGATCAAGGCAGAGGGCACGATAAACACAGCCACCCACCATGTAGCACTTGCGCATCGTGCCCGCCACCATCTCGTCGAAACCTGATGCCGCGGATGCTTAGCTGTGATGCGCGCGGGAGAAGGGGGGGAGTGGGGGGTGGGGGAGGAAGAGGGAGGGGGAGGGAGGGGAGGAGGGGAAGGAGGGGGAAGGAGGAAGCGAAAAATGAAAAACCATGTGACAATCTGGAATGCACGACCTTAGAAGAAAGCTAAACACGCACGCACCGGTCACTGAAACACGGCCTTGTCTCGACGCCGGATCATTCCGCCCAAGAACCAGCGATTGCGACAGTCCCTGGCCACCAGTGCCCGTTTGCCACGTGGCTGCTCGCAAACAACCTCTCTGCAGAAAATCGCCTCGCAAAAGGCACCTATCGGCAGGGTGAGCCGTTTGAGGTGCCTGAAACAAGGAATTCCGTTGAGCTGAAAGAACGCTGGGAGAAGCACGGGCTATGGACGAGAGCCCGGTAACATGTGACACCGCATGCAATGCAGCCATGGCTACGCAGAAACAGTACAAGCTTGCGAGGCGGAATGAATTCGCTCGGAGACCGGCACAAGTATACGTGGTGCGAGGTACGTGCTTCTAGAGGCCTCGTTCCTACGACCCAGATTCTAAGAGCCTTGGTCTTCCAGCTTAGAATCTGACAAGTTCACGGCTGGATTTGGGCGTTGATCAGGAATTTGACTCCACATTGTCTGTCAGCTCCAGATTCTCGTCCAGTCAGCTCCAATCCCTCCAATCAGCTGCTCCTCCCTTCCCCTGTCTGTGAGACCAGGTTCTCTCGAGAACTCCGACAATGAACTGCCTCGCTCAACCAAATGGAAACCATTTGAAACGGACCCAACCGCTATTGTAGATGGCTCGTACCCAACCAGTTGTCCGCCAACCAGAGGCTTCTGGTGGGGATTGCGTGCGCAACAAGCAGCGCAGTGCTGGTCCTAGAAGAGGCAAGCCTCGGATTTTGATTGGCCAGACATGTCATTTGCTCATTTTGTTAGCAACACCGATAACACGATAACACGATAACCGAACAATGCACATTTTGAGTTACGGTAAAGTTTATTTCACAGATGGAGCATTGAAACAACCTCCCACGATATGCCACCATGCTGTTCCTGGCTTACTACCATTCCTACCTCTGCACATATCATCACCCTTGATTACGCTGCATCCAACGCTGGCATCATACTTCTTCTCATGGCTCTTAGAAACAACCCCTACAACCTCATCACCACCCCTCTCCCCCTCTCCGTCACATGCTGCCGCCTGTCCCCAGCTCGACTGGCTGCTGCTAGGCGAGCAGTGGGACGAACATCCACTGCTGGTGGAATTTCCACCAGATTCGCAAGCTCCAAAATTCTCCAGTCTTAGTTCTTCGGCCGAAGCGGCGGCGGATGAGACTGCAGCGGATTCTGGCCCTGCGCATTCCCCCGCCTGCCCTCCCCGCACCTCCTTCCCCAGCTCTGCGCACATTGCGCCCATCTGAGAAAGCTCGAATTCACAAGCCGTTTCTGTTGAACAGGCTGAGTCTGACGGCCGCAGCCCGATAAAATCAACCCCAGGAACAGCAACATGGCTGGCTAGCTGAAACCGGGAGAACGGCGATCGCCGCTCTGAACCGCACTGCATCCCCGCTACGCCTAAGGCTGATCTCCCCGAGCCACCCCGCCTCAGACTGCCCCATCCCGCGCTCATGGCGGGACCGAAGGCGGCGGAAGGGTTACTAGCTCCGCCCCATCCGCCCATGGCGGGACTGAAGGCGGGGGGGATCATGGTTCCGCCGCCCCATCCGCCCGTGGCGGGACTGAACGCGGGGTCCAGAATCCCCGCCAGGCGCCCGGAAGATGACGGGAGCGAGAGGTCCGCGGAATCCTGAATCCCCGCCATCGCCAGCAGGGAGAAGTTCACGTCCAATCCGCGCTGGTCTAGCCTCGTCGGCGGCCGCGGAGCGGCGCCGCAGCCGCCGCAGTCCCCCCCGCCGCCGTGGAGAATGGCGCGCAGCTCCTCCCGCTGGATCTGCTGCAGAAGGCGGAGCTCCTGCGACTGAAGCGCGAGTAGTTCCCGCGACATCGCGCGCCGCTCGTCATCGTCGTACAGCTGCGGAGCGATGCCGTGGCTCATGCCGCAGCTCGCCGGGTTTTCCTCCGCCGCCGCCGCCGATGCGCGCGGCGAGGGCGCGAATTTCCCCGAGTTTGCCGCTTCGCCGTGACCTGCGGTGGTCACGACGTCGCATTCGTCCCTCGCGACATCATCATCACGACTAGCTGTATAGCAAGTAAGAGTGTCTACCATAGTAAAAGCCGCACACTGTCACACTCACGGCGACTGTCCGTGTCTCGTTGAGACGCTAACGAGTCGATTACAAACGAGTATTCTGCACTCGGCGCGCGCGAGTGGGGGTTGCACGGCGGCCCGCCGAAATTGCCTCTGCGTTGCCTCGTCGCTGAAGTGTCCCTTCAGCAATTTTGGGGCTTCACTCAAAGTCTTCGTTAATCGTCTTGTAGGAGGGGTTAGGAAGCAAATAATCAGTTCCAGACCATTTCCAGAAAAAGGGCAGGCGGAGTGGAGAGGCGAAGGGCCGCGGAGTTGGAGATGGAGGGAGACTCCTCAAACAAAGCAGGCCTGCGTGTTCGACAAACAAAGCTTGGATGTTCTGTGCTTGGCGATCATGAGACGCCATGCATACTCTGTCTTCATTTGAGAACACATACGTACATGCGCAACTCGACAGTTACAGCATAGAAAGCCCACAGGTACATGGCGTGTCCCAACAGGATCACATCATCGTGACAGTTACACCTTACAGCATTCATGTCCACAGCGCTAGTGCTGCCGAAATCAAGCACCCCACATAATTCTGCGCCACGCGAATCCCACTCAAATTCTTCATTCAACACGGTTTAATTCGGTCTCTCTTGTTTCAGCACGGTGACATACGCAAGAAAGTAGCCAAAGGTGAAGGTGATGGTGATGAAGCAGACGACCAGTCAACAACTTAACCCTCGATATAGCAACATGCGGGAAACTTTGAAGTGGGACCGAGTGTCAGAGCCTTTTGGTTGTGTGGGGAAATGCCCTAACAAGATAGGCCAGGAGAGTGTGAGCCAGCGAACAGCGCTTTGCCGCAACAGTGCAGCGAATTCGAGGCTCACATCACATGACAAATCTGGAGGTTTCTCTCTCCTTCCACCTGACTGCATGTGATGAGAGAGATCGACCATGATTTTGCAACTGCTGGCAGCATTTCAAGCAGAGTTGGGATTCGGAAGGCGCAGTAACCGACAGTCCAATCATCAACTTTCTGTGGTCCTCGGAGTACGCTTGTTCCACTGACCAGGGAACTGAAAAGACGGCACACTGTACATCATGTGAGTCAACGCTACATAACGAGTATAAACTGCTGAAGGATAAAACTGGAACTCTGTACAAGAGATGACTAACAATATTCGCATGAGAAACCCCTAACCATCACTCCATAAGCATGGCAGCTATGTGAGCTGCAAAAAAGAACAAAGCACTCATGTGCTCTACCGCAGTAGATTAGATGCCTCCCACAAGTTTCGCAAGGGAATCAATTGCACCAGCAACAAGCTCGAGGTATATTGCAAGCTGACCAACGACAGGAGAATGGATAGAAAAAACGAATGGAGATATAGGTTATGTGGCTGAGCCTTGCGTGTGGCACCTACTACAATAAGATGCGTCCATCAGCACCCACTGTTGCTTCTGTCCCAGATTTCACTTAACTATGTTACACCCACACATAAACAGGAAACCCATTCATGCTCTAGCGGAAGTCACCCACAGCATTCTCTCTCTCACCTGCCCAAGAATGCCAGTCTGAGTGAAGCCCTCTCCCACTAGCGCAGCAAAGATGCCAATGACAGCCCATGCACCATTAATAGCCTCAATCTCCCGCCACTTCTGAAATAGCGCAACAGAGTGACGACAGAGAGGAAGTGGAAAGGTAGGCACTTCTCCATCAAACAATTATCTTGCGTTCGACGCGAGCAACTTAGCAAGGCTGCCATCAGATGTCGTAACAAACGCTAATTCACGCATGGACGAGCTTTCAACACAGAGACCCGCCTGTTTCGACGACGCCTCGGAAGTATCTTAAAACCCGCGTACCAAATGTCCCAAAATTGCCTCGAGCTTCCTACCTTTGGTTGAGCGTTCCCTTGGAAAACTACTGCACAACCTATCCCGTTCTCCTTTCCAACCAACCTTCCTACCATTGAACTACTTGGCACGCGGGTTTTAAGATCCTCTTGCGCTGGCAGCTCTACACCCATCATACAAAAAAAAAAACGATTTTGACAAAAAACGCTTGCCTGCTTCGACGCGGCCTTGGCACGCCTCTTGAGACCCTCATGCGCTAGCAGCTCTGCACCCATCGTACATAAAAAAAACCCTTCTAACATAAACGCTTGCCTGTTTCGACGCAGCCTTGGCACGCCTCTTCAGATCCTCCTGCGCTAGCCGCTTCGCCTCGACCGGATCCACCAGCACCACCTGCTTCGCCCCGCGAGGCGCCCCCCCTGCTCGCCCCGTTTCCCCCGCAACGCCATCCGGAGCGCTGCTGGGAGATACGGCGACTGCGCGGACAGAAAACCGCTGAGAGGGATCACATGGAGGGAATTCGCGAGAAGAAAACGCTTAGCGAAGATCTAAAGGACCGTTGGACATCCGAGGAGCAGACTTTGTACGAGAAAGGAGACATGTTCGACTAGAAGATTAAAATGACAATCTGTGCCTTCCCTTCTTGAGCAGCTAATGTAAAGCCTAACATCCTTACTTTATACGTTAGCACTGGCCGAACGGTTAAGCCACTGCTCTCATGCCTTTGCAAGTTGTTGGTCCGTTGATCCAACCGTTGACCAAACGGGCTCCCCAACGACAGCGCCGTTCTGCAGGTCGATCGGGCGAGGCATGAATATGCCATGGCGGCGAACTGTAGGACGTTGCTCGGCTTGAAACTTTAGGTAGCCGCACAAACCAGTCGATTTTCTCTAAGGGACAAGAAATTATGGACGGAAGGCAGCCATAGTTTTACTGAAGGCTTCTAGAGAGACCACAGCTTCGAGTCTTCATGGGGCTAGTTTTCAGGGTGATGTTCATGGAGCATGGCCTAGTCCAGTGTCCCAGCCCATTCCTTTTGCTTGTGTGAGTGATGGATGATAAGGGCGTGTGACATTTTGAAAAAAATACAGTAGTCCATACCGAATGAACGTGCATCCGGGGCGGACTCGTCAACATTCGAGGATCGAAAAGCAGGTTCCAAAATTGCAAGAATTGAAACTGGATTCGGTACCCAGTCGAGGGAACAACGCCGTTCATACACGTGGCCCGTACACAGTCAAGCGACGACAAAGTAAAATCGTCAATGTTTCGTCAAATCTGTGCGACGGTTACGACTGGTCCGATGAAAAAAATCTCACTAGTGAGTCGCCACCAATCACCAATCTTAAAGATGCAGATTTCGGTGTGTAACATTGTCGTCCTCTTCGCTTACGAGTAATAATGCACACCGTCGGAACATGACAGGGTATGTGGTCATGCTGGACCTCAAATGTGGACACTGGTCCGGCAGGTTCGGATGTGCGCGAGTGAGCCCTGTAATTTTAGCGGGACGTACCCAGATGTGACATAATTTATTGGGGGTATTCGCTAGAGCTTTCGTCTTTTTCGCGAATAAGGTAACCACTAGAAATTTTGCACCCCAATCCCGTTACGTTCAAATTGTCACGCGCCCTAATTGTTCTTCCGAGGAAGGGACGTGGGCTGAGCTGATTGGACGAAAAATTGAAATGGTACCTTGGACTGAAGGATCCGGTGTGTTGTAGCTCGGTATGCTGCAAGTCTGCGCGTTTCTGCGCGATAAAGGGGGTTCTTGTGTGGTGAGCTTTACTATCGAAGTGTTCGGGATGCCCTTGGGGAGAACCGTGCGAAGCCTTTATGAACCACAAAGTGGCAACGAGAATCGACGAAGCGAGTTACCGAAACACCTCAGATATTTCCGTTTCGTCTGTGGAGTTGGAGTGAACCACGCTCGACCGCTCGATAATCACTAGAAGCGGTATCCAACGGGTTGGAGTACACATTGAGCCTTCTTGCTTCCTTGTAAGGAAAATTCCTTTTCCTTACTGGGCTCAACTACAGCGCGTACGCCCTCGACCCTCGGAAGACCAGGCCCGGCCATTTTCCTCGGTCCCGAACCATTTCGTAAACCCAAACCTAATGCGCGGCGCCTCCGTGGCTTTTGCCAGCCGAATCGCCCTAACCTGTTTGCGAGGTTCTCGGCTAGCCCTGTTGTGCCTATAAATGCCTAGGTCCTCATTTGTATTGACGACTCTTGAATCACGACTCTTTTATTACACTACCTGTTATTACTCTGATTAATTCATAACATTCCTCATTCATAATTTGAGTGGAATAGCAAAAACTCTCGTTTGAGGAGAGACAATATCGAGGCATGGTCAACATGCACTTCTTCAGAAAGCCTGGTGTGACGTTGTAAGGTCCTGTACTTACTGACCTGACCACTGAGCAGGCGTTGAAACTGTTGTGACATGAGGGCGTGAGGCTGACGCTGTTAGGTTGATCATGATTCACTCCGATGCTTTCTGGATACTTTTAGGACACCTTCGGGATACTTCCATGCGTTGGTATGAACTCCCGCCAGAAGCCTGTAGTTTATGTATCGTTGTCGCTTGATTTCGGCGAAAGAGTCAAATGATTCACGACCTTACGATGGAAGAGGTCCGTTGTACTGCTCGGTCGCTGTCGCTGATTGTTGATCGGAACAATGGCGACTTGAATCTCGTTGAAAATGGAGACCACACGCGTCATGCTAATCAGATCCTACGGTATTCCACTGGTCTGACGTCACGCAGCCATGCGGTCGCTCTGCTTTCCGCGCTAAACACTCTCGACGACGCGGCGGGGGAAAGCAGCGAGCTTCGCGACTTTTTGCAGCGTAGGTCTCACCTCTATGATTTTTTTTTTTTTTTTCTCGAGATTTCGTAAGTTAAATTCTTTATAGCCAACCCTTTTGTTTTACAAGGCTAACGTAACGTCTCGGCGTATTTTGCCAACCGTCTTTCCAGGAACTCGTGCCTCCCTCCATTCGGAAGTGGACGCATGCCAACAAGACATTGAATCGCGTCATGGCTCGCATCTGAACGCACATAACAATCTGCAAGGTCCGGACCTCGACAGAGCAACGCGAGCGCAATTGTCCCCCCATATCGCAACATGTCAGCATGACCTGTCTGATACAGTCGCCGATGTACCGCGACTCGTGAAAGATGGTACACGTCACCCTGCACAGTTGTCTAATGAAGCAGAGTCAACGGCGGATGTAGCAGTCACGGGATATGCCTCGCCAGCACGTGCTGAGCGCCGTCTTCTGATTGAAGAGGGAAATTTGGAGGCAGATCATTCGCAGGCTGCTCCAGTTGGAATGGCTTCACTTGCCGGAGGGTCAGAACCACCATCGCGATACCAGGAAGGGCCCCCAGCCTGCTCAGAGCAAGGAACTGAACCCTCTGCAGCGTGCTTGCAACGAGGTCCTGAACCCTCTGCAGCGTGCTTGCAACGGGGAACTGAACCCTCTGCAGCGTGCTTGCAACGAGGACCTGATTCCGCTGCAGCATCTGAACCAGCATCAGCTTTCAAGCCAACAAGGCATCTTCCCGAGCCAACACAACCGCCCAGGGAAGCACAACCGCCCAGGGAAGCACAACCGCCCAGGGAAGCACAACCGCCCAGGGAAGCACAGCCGTCCAGGGAAGCACAGCCGTCCAGGGAAGCACAGCCGTCCAGGGAAGCACAGCCGTCCAGGGAAGCACAGCCGTCCAGGGAAGCACAGCCGTCCAGGGAAGCACAGCCGTCCAGGGAAGCACAACCCTTCAAACCCATTCAACATCCCGAGGCACCAGTCTTAGAGACGCCCTGTAGGCCTCCGAACACAGCAGCCGTTGCTGGCCCTGCAGCTGCTCCCAGCGCTACAGCTGCTCCTGATACAGCTGCTGCTGGCGCTACAGCTGCTGTTGGCCCCTCAGCTCCCCGGCCTGCTTGCCTGTGGCTCGACGACAGCCAGAGGAGCACAGCTGCAGACACAAGGGGACCTGCTCGCAGTTCTCGAATCGCTGCATCCGATGCTGGGGCTTCGGGTCGCTGTGAAGTAGGAGAGGGTGGTGGTAGGCCACGGGAGGATAATCCTCCAGACATTCTTGATGAGCTGCTGCTGCAACCCACTCAGCCTCATAATGTAAGTTCCACCCACTCCTCTGTTGATTCAACTCAACGGTCAAGGGAGGACAGTCCAGACATTCTTGATGAGCTGCTGCAACCCACTCAGCCTCATCATGTAAGTCCGACTCCTCTGTTGAGTCGACTCAATGGCCAAGGGAGGATAGTCTAGACATTCTTCAAACCACTCAGCCTCAAAATGTAAGTCCCAATCCTCTGTTGCTAATCTTTTGGTCCATGCTATGCTATGTGCCGTTTGCTAACCCGTGATTTCGCCTGTGTTTAGCGGGCCTCAGTCTAGGATTCAGTCACCCTTGTACTTAGTGTCATTTCTCTAGAGTTATATTCCCCCAATTTTTGTATTTCTCCTGTCCATGTCCCAGCCTCTGCCCTTTCTCCCACCCTCTGCATTCCCTCTCCTGTAATTTCCTAACTCTTTTCCTTGGTATGCCAGAAATCTCGCACCGCTCCCTCCACGCACGCAGTGATGACTCCAAAGTTCAAGGCTCCAAATTTAAAAAAACCCCGTGCTACAAGAGGTCTCGCTGGTGGCGGCCAGGCCACAGTTGCTTCTCGGAACCATGCCAATTTGGTAATATGCTATTCAATTGTTGTTTGAATCTCGCATCCTCTATGTGCTCCATGCCTTCTGCTATTTTCCCACTGAATCCAGCGAGTTGTTCACTCAGGTTTATCGTTTTATTTTTTTCTTTTTTTGGGGCAGGTTGATAAGGGCCACAAGGTGAATCGCCTCCTTCACAAGAGCATGAGCAACGCTCCCAAGAACCCCTCGATACAGCGCCAGCTGCAGCCATCCTTGAGAGTGCAAAGAAGCCGAGACTTATGTCCTCCTCTTGCTTCGGAGCCTCAGCTGCACCCACAAGTGCGGATGGTTCCAGGGTCTCCGAACCAGCTGCATCCTACTCGAGTGCAGGAAAGAGAGCATGGTGACGGGCAAGTGGAAGTGGTAGTTCCCGGAGCTGGAGGATTGAAGCGCAAGGCAGGATATGATGGTCCTTGTGGTGGTATACCACCGCTGCATGCCATGGCTCCTGGGCCAAAACGCAAGCCGCTTGCTTCTATTGAGAACGTATGGCCTAATGCACATGGCAATGCAGCTCCAAGGAGTGTCTATAACGGGGATGGGAGAGACTCACGGGCTGGCGCTGGTGAGGGTTTGAGGGATGATCTTGGTTCAGACAGCAGTCAGGATACGGGCTTGGGGTTTCTCCTCCAGAAGGCGTCTGGCACGAAGGTGGAGGTGTCGGCTGCAGCTATAGCAGGCGCAATGAAGCTGTTCGGGGAAGATGCCGCTGCTGCTGGTACGTGGACTGCTGGCGCTTGGGGTGCTGGGGGTCAAACCAGTCAGCCTCCTGCCCTTCCTGCTGCTGCTGCTGCTGCTGCTGTTACTCCTCCTCCTCCTGCTGGTGCTGCTCCTGCCGTTCCGTCTGCTGCGATGCACAACGCACGCGAACCTTTGGGCTCTGATGCTGAAGAATGGCGGCAAGGGGAGCAGAGGTTGCAAGGGAAGCTGGGGATTCAAGGGCAGCAGGAGACGCAAGGGCAGCAGGAGACGCAAGGGCAGCAGGAGACGCAAGGGCAGCAGGAGGCGCAAGGGCAGCAGGAGACGCAAGGGCAGCAGGAGATGCAAGGGCAGCAGGAGACGCAAGGAAAGCAGGAGACGCAAGGGCAGCTGGAGAGTCCAGAATGCATGGCTCTAGTGCCAGTAACAGCCGCAGCAGCACTCACTACAGAACAGAATCCCTCTCCCCTATCACTGGTACCACCGCAACCACCAGAACCAGCACAACCACTTGCCACAGCTAGTTTGTTTCAAACAGGCCTGGGCAAGCCGGTGCGTTTCTCTTCAGCTGCTGTGGACAAGGCATGCGCTCTGCTGGGCGTGCAACAACACAAGAGGCCACGATTTGAGGAACCGCCACCGCCACCACCACCTGCTACAGCTAGTTTGTTCCGAACAGCGTTGAACAAGCCCGTGCCTTTGTCGTCAGCTGGTGTGGACAAGGCATGCGCTCTGCTGGGCGTGCAACAACACGAGAGGCCGCGATTTGAGGAACCGCCACCGCCACCACCACCTGCTACAGCTAGTTTGTTCCGAACAGCGTCGAACAAGCCTGTGCCTTTGTCTTCAGCTGCTGTGGACAAGGCATGCGCTCTGCTGGGCGTGCAACATCACGAGAGGCAGCGATTTGAGGAACCACCACCGCCACCACCACCTGCTACAGCTAGTTTGTTCCGAACAGCGTCGAACAAGCCTGTGCCTTTGTCTTCAGCTGCTGTGGACAAGGCATGCGCTCTGCTGGGCGTGCAACAACACGAGAGGCCGCGATTTGAGGAACCGCCACCGCCACCACCACCTGCAACAGCTAGTTTGTTCAGAACAGCGTCGAACAAGCTGGTGCCTTTGTCTTCAGCTGCTGTGGACAAGGCATGCGCTCTGCTGGGCGTGCAACAACACGAGAGGCCGCGATTTGAGGAACCGCCACCGCCACCACCACCTGCAACAGCTAGTTTGTTCCGAACAGCGTCGAACAAGCCTGTGCCTTTGTCTTCAGCTGCCGTGGACAAGGCTTGTGCTCTGTTGGGCGTGCAGCAGCATGAGAGGCCACGGTTTGGGCCTCCTCAAATCGCACCACCGACACAGGTCCACGTGAGGATTGCAGATCTGCAGGACAATCAGGAAAATGAGCGGCCATGTGTTGAGGCTTTGCGAATCACACTGCCTACGCACAGGCCTGCAGCTCTGCTGGACGTTCAAGAAAATGAGCAGCCATGCGTTGAGGCTCCTCGGATCACACTGCCTACGCACAGGCTTGCAGCTCTGCTGGACGCCCCTCAAGGGCGTGAGGAGCAGCAGCAGACCGCTCATGCAGACGGTTCCAATGGTGAACGTGCGCCAATGGAGCTTTCAGCACGAAATTCAGGAGCAGAGCAGGCAATAGTGGCGCAGGCATATGGTAGCGCCAGTGTGGGGGGAGCGAGTGTAGGGGAGGGCCTGTTCCGAACAGGCCGGGGCAAGCCAGTGACCCTATCGTCTTCAGCTGCCGTGGACAAGGCGTGTGCTCTGTTGGGCGTGCAACAGTACGAGAGGGCACGGCTCGAACCAACACCGCTCCCAAGTGCTACCGCTAGTTTGTTCCAAACAGGCCGGGGCAAGCCTGTGCCTTTATCTTCAGCTGCTGTGGACAAGGCGTGTGCTCTGCTGGGCGTGCGGCAGCATGAGAGGCCACGGTTAGAACCACCGCCATCTGCTGCTACTACAGCTAGTTTATTCCGAACTGCCTCAGACAAACCGGTGCCTTTATCTTCAGCTGCTGTGGACAAGGCGTGTGCTCTGCTGTGCGTGCGGCAGCATGAGAGGCCACGGTTAGAACCACCGCCATCTGCTGCTACTACAGCTAGTTTATTCCGAACTGCCTCAGATTACACCTTCTGGAGCGGCAGAGGAAGAGCAGGTGCTTCGGGTTCTCTTGCTCTGCCTCCTCCTACTGCCCATGCCGCCCCTGCACCCGAAGCACCTGCTCTTCCTCCCCCTTCCCCTCCTTCCTGGCCGCTTGCCCTGTCCCAACCCTCTGCACAAGGCGTGGCCGAGCCTGCTGTGGAGGCCCGGGCAGCTCTTGCCAGGGCAGAGGAAATGGTTGCGAGTATGTGGGACCTGGGGACAGGTGGGGGGGAGAGGGTTGGTGAGAGAAAGGGGGAGGGGAGAGGAGGTGTGGAAAGTTGGAGAGGTGGTGATGGGGATGATGTTGGAAATGAGATAGGGATCAGGGATTTGAATCTGCTCCATGTATCTCATCGACCCAATCAGAACGGAGCCAGGTGGAATGCAGCCCATCAGAAGGGAGCTGTCCGGAATGCGGCCAATCAAACCGAGGCATCATTGAGCAACTGGGTGGGCAAGTCCCTGGTGCAAAACCTTTCCCAACTGTTTACAGAAGCAGCAGCAGCCGGAGCAGCAGAAGGAACAGCAGCAGCAGGAGCGTCGCTACCCCAGAACCAACAGCAGCTTGCGAGTGGGCCCTCAAATTCGTTCAATCCTCACACTCCTGGCTCTTTCAAGCCGTCATCTGATCCATACTCAAAAGCACCACATCCCCGAACAGCCCATCCTTTATCCCGGTCTCCCTTTCCCTTGGCGAAGGGCCACACTTCCTCACACATTTCACAGCAGCCCCCCCCCACACGGCCGCTTCTCCAGTCACCTGCACCTTCCCCACACACTCCCTCACTCGCCCAGCCACCTCCCCACCGTTCCTCCCCTCCTCTCCACCCCTCCTCCCCACTCCACCCCTGCCCTCCCCTACACCCCTCCTCTCCTCTTCATCGGTCTGGTGGCCCTTCCCACCCTCCCAACTCTCCCAACCACCGCTCCCCCACTCCCCTCCACTCTTCCTCCACTCTCCTCCACGGTTCCCCCACTCCTCTTCATCGGCCCAACACCACTCTCCGCCGCTCCCTCACTCCTCTACACCGATCCCCATCTCCTTCCACCTCCCCATCTCCTAGACGTGCCTTCATCCCTCCCACCTCCACCATCCCCTCGCTCTTCTCCAAGCAACGCCCCCCTCGCTCCCGTACTGCTGGCCTCCCCCCCATCCCCATGCGCCCCCTCACTGATGCCACTGATGCAGCAGTGCCTAGTGATGCCCATCGGAAGTGTGGAGTGGGAGTGGGAGTGGGATGTGTGGCTGCAGAATGTACAGGAGACCAGAGGGCTGATTCTGGTGCAGGGGCAGCACGTGGGTTGAGGGGTGAGGGAGAGGCAGGGGGTGCAGCGGTGATGGGGAGGCAGAGGGGAGGGGAGCCGAGAGCACTGCATGACATGTACAGGGAGAAGGATGGGAAGCCGAGGAAGCGGCCCTCCATGGCGGAATTCTTTGGCTACCCGCCTGGCCTTGAAAGGCTGGTGAGTGAGAGATCGTGCATTTTTCCCCGCGGTGCGGACGATTTGTGCTGAATCGATTCTAAGAAAGATTAGCGTAGCCTACTAAGGAAGTGCTGTCACGCTTATAGGCTGTGCTGCATTGTGCTCATTGCGCATGGTAAATTATGAGCACCTCACTTGTGTCATTATGCTGATTGCACGTGCGTGCCATTACCTCTCCACTTTCTTGCTGTGCGTTTCGTTCTTCCACTTGCTGTCCCATCACCGGCAGGAGGGCAAGGTGTCAGGAGCAGTGCGCAGAATGACAGCAGCATCTGCCCTGACATTCACCTTCACGGTTCAATCTGCCGTGCAAGCAGATGAAGCACCACAGCCATTGCCACCACTCACACATAAATCTGCCGTGCAACCAGCAGAAGCACCAGCAAACTCGCCATCATTGCCAGAACTGCCGGCACTGCAAGCACCACCAGTATTGTCACCAGCGTTAACGGCACTGCCGGCGTTAATAAGACTACCAGCACCAGAAGTACCACCACCACTGCTACCAGCAGCAGAAGTACCACCACTGCTAACAGCAGCAGAAGTACCACCACCACTGCTACCAGCAGCAGCAGCAACAGCAGGACCACTGCTATCAGCGCCATTGCCATCACCCACACCATTATCATTACCACAACTATTACCACCATCGCCACCATCACCACCGTCACCACAATCATCACCACCAGCGGCTGGAAGGGATAGGCCAGAGGACTCAGATGCGACAGATGCGACTGTGGAAGTAGAGGAAGCAGGTGGCGCAGCAGCCGTTGCAGATGTAGCAGCCGTTGCAGATGTAGCAGCCTTTGCAAAAGCAGGAGGTTTGGCAGATGTGGCAGACATGGCTAGTGTGGCAGCTGTAAGTAATGCAGATGATGCAGAAGGTGTGGCACCAGTTGCACCATTGCTAGCGGGAGCAGATGCTTGCGCTGCAGCAAGTGCTGCCAGTGGCCCAAGCCCTGCGATAGAGTCACGCCTAGGTGCATGCCCTTTGACAGAGTCACACCAAGGTAGAAGCCCTGCGATAGAGTCACGCGCTGGCAACAATCTAGCAGATACAGCAGCCACAGAGGCTGGGTGCTCGAACAAAACAGATCTTATAGCAGCAGCTTCAGCAGCAGCAGCAACGGAAGGAGGGGAAGCAAAAGAACCAGGAACAGGGGCGTTATCACCGCTAAAACACGAAGCAACGGCAACTTTGGCGGTTCCTGGTGCTGCAAGAGGTGGAAAGATGGCGAGGGTTGGCCCGCAGGAGTTTCGGGACATGCTGATTGCCGCAGGCGCTCAGCCCAAGTTCGCCACGCGAGAGTGAGTGAGACACTACTACCCCTCCCCCCCCCAACACCACTAGTACCTCCCCCTCACTACTACCCTCCCTCTCTTTTGTGGTCCTGTGTGGGGTTTCTGCTCTCCTGGTCCTGAGTCGCATTTTCCTCACCCACTTGTTCATTTCCTTCTCTGGCTTGCCTTCCTCCCTCCCTGCACCACTCTCCCCCATTAGCAGTAGGGTCTAGTTTTGAGCTGCCTCGAAACTGCACCAATCTCCCCCACTTGCTTGCAGTAGGGTCATCAACCCCTACCGGTGGATTGTGTGGAAGCTGACCAGTCAGGAGTGCAGTGTGCAGCTTGAGTCAACTCATCAATCTCTCCCTGTCTTCCCCTGTCTTTTCCTCCCCTAGTGTCCCTGTCTCTTCCCCCTGTCATCAACCGCCACCAGTGGATAGTGTGTGGAAGCTGGCCTGTTCGGCAGGAAGCTTCTGCGTTCACGTCATGCGCTCCTTCCTGCACCACCGCCCCTATGCAGCTGGGTGACCAACCGCTGGGTGGAGTGGAAGCAGCAGCTTGTGAGTCCTCATACAAACCTTCTCCCTGATTGCAACTCTCCACCACCCCCCCTTGCAGCTGGGTCGCCAACCACTACCGGTGGATCGTGTGGAAGCTGGCCTGTCAGGAGCGTAGCTTCCCCCGTCGCCTGGCAGGCAGGATGCTGACAGTGGAGAGAGTGCTGGAGCAGCTCAAGTACCGGTGAGATAAGCTGCAGGTGACCTCTGAGCTTCTTTACGAAGTCGCCTGGCTGGTTCATGTTGTTATGTGTTAGCTGGTAGACGATAGGGGTGTCAGCTTTCCCCATCGCCTGGCAGGCAGGATGCTGACAGTGGAGAGGGTGCTGGAGCAGCTCAAGTACCGATGAGTTCAGCTCTGCAGGCAAGCGGTGTTTTTGAGAATTCTCAAAAACAACCTGCAGGCAAGCGGTGTTCTTGAGAATTCTAAAAAACACCCTGCAGGCAAGCGGTGTTTTTGAGAATTCTCAAAAACAACCTGCAGGCAAGCGGTGTTTTTGAGAATTCTCAAAAACACTCTGCAGGCAAGAGGTGTTTTTGATAATTCTCAAAAACACCCTGCAGGCAAGCGGTGTTTTTGAGAATTCTCAAAAACACCCTGCAGGCAAGCGGTGTTTTTGAGAATTCTCAAAAACACCCTGCAGGCAAGCGGTGCTTTTTATAATTCTCAAAAACACCCTGCAGGCAAGCGGTGTTCTTGAGAATTCTCAAAAACACCCTGCAGGCAAGCGGTGTTTTTTAGAATTCTCAAAAACACCCTGCAGGCAAGCTGTGTTTTTGAGAATTCTCAAAAACACCCTGCAGGCAAGCGGTGTTTTTGAGAATTCTCAAAAACACCCTGCAGGCAAGCGGTGCTTTTTAGAATTCTCAAAAACACCCTGCAGGCAAGCGGTGTTTTTTTAGAATTCTACAAAAAATGAAGGCAAGCGGTGTTTTTGAGAATTCTAAGAAACACCCTGCAGGCAAGCGGTGATTTTGAGAATTCTCAAAAACACCCTGCAGGCAAGCTCTGAGTATACTTGAGAAGTGGGTCGCTAGCAGGTCAAGTTAGCAGGTCAAATTAGCAGGTCAAGAACAGCTCAAGTACTGGTGGGTTCCTAGCGAATCAAGCAAACAACGAGTTCAAACACACATGATGCACCAGCGAGGTGGCCAAGCACGAACTGCCAGATTCCTCTGTCGCCTGGTAGGCAGGATGCTGACAGTGGAGAGAGCGCTGGAGCTGCTCAAGTACCGGTGGGTTCAGCTGCAGGTGACCTCCTGTTTTTCTCCTGGATTAGGTGGTTACATGTTAGTAGGTAGAGTATGGGGTGTCGGCTTTCCCCGTCCCCTGGCGGGCAGCATGCTGACAGTGGAGAGAGTGCCTGGAACAGGCCAAGTACCGTTGAGTCTCCAGTTATTCGAGCAGCTCAATTACCGGTGAGTCTCCAGTTATTCGAGCAGCTCAAGTACCACCGGTGAGTCTCCAGTTATTCGAGCAGCTCAAGTACCGGTGAGTCTCCAGTTATTCGAGCAGCTCAAGTACCGGTGAGTCTCCAGTTATTCGAGCAGCTCAAGTACTGGTGAGTCTCCAGTTATTCGAGCAGCTCAAGTACCACCGGTGAGTCTCCAGTTATTCGAGCAGCTCAAGTACCGGTGAGTCTCCAGTTATTCGAGCAGCTCAAGTACCGGTGAGTCTCCAGTTATTCGAGCAGCTCAAGCACCGGTGAGTCTCCAGTTATTCGAGCATCTCAAGTACCACCGGTGAGTCTCCAGTTATTCGAGCAGCTCAAGTACCGGTGAGTCTCCAGTTATTCGAGCAGCTCAAGTACCGGTGAGTCTCCAGTTATTCGAGCAGCTCAAGCACCGGTGAGTCTCCAGTTATTCGAGCATCTCAAGTACCGGTGAGTCTCCAGTTATTCGAGCAGCTCAAGTACTACTGGTGAGTCTCCAGTTATTCGAGCAGCTCAAGTACCGGTGAGTCTCCAGTGAATGAATCGAGCAGCTCAAGTACTGGTGAGCATATTGCAGTAGCTTTGCAAACAATAGGAGAAAAACTCGCTGGTAGATTATTTCTGCCGGTAGAATACTTGGCTTGCTGCTTTTCTCTCGTCTGTGCTCTGCCCATACTTCTCCCAACAGAAACTGCTGCAGGTGCTGCAGGAGGGAAAGGGATGAGCTCTGAGAAATATTTCTGAGTGGGATGTTCAGTTTGACTCCCCTGTGTTCTGCATTTCCCCACCGTCACTCGTCAGATGCGCGAGGCGAGGGAGGTGAACGAACGAGTCTGATTTTGAGTCAACTCAAAAGCAGGCGTCTGAGAGGGAGGGTTATGTTGGCTCCCCTGTGCGCTGATTTTCCCCCGCCTTCACTCATCAGATTCGAGGGGGAGATCAATGAGGGCCCGAGATCGGATCTGAGGAAGGTGTGTGAGCGGGACGCTGCTGCTGGCATCGCCACCCCACCCATGGTGCTCTCTGTCTCTGCTGTGTGCCCTCTTGTCTTGTCCCCCGTTCCCATGCGCTGCAGATACGAGAGAGAAATAAATGAAGGCCAAAGATCAGCTCTAAGGAAAGTGTGTGAGCGGGACGCTGCTGCTGGCATCCCCATGGTGCTCTGTGTCTCGGCTGTGCGCTCCCAGGGGGGAGGCAGCAAGGGAGGGGGTGGAGGAGGAGGGGCCGAGGAGGAAGTGGGTAAACGGGAGGAGAAGAGTGATGGAGAGGAGGAGGAGGAGGATGAGGATGAGGATGAGGGGGACAAGAGGCAGGAGGAGCGGCAGAGAGGAGCGCTGACTGTGGCGGGGCAAACCGCAGTGATTGAAGTGACTGATGGGTGGTGAGTATTCAGCAGTCTGCATGCAGCTTTAGCACGGCAGAGGGGTTCGCTGACTGTGGTTGCTGGGGTGGTTGTGGCGGGGCAAACTGCAGTGATCGAAGTGACTCATGGGATGGGTGCTGAGATCTCAGCAGGGCAATGCAGTTGTGTTCGTGCCAGTTGATTACGTTGCTATTGCCCATTCAGTCAGTCAGTAGCATCCCTTATCTTCCCAATCTCCAAAGTCCTCCCACCCCTCCGTATTCTACATTCCGCATGCATGCACGTCTCTTGGCATCACATTCTGTAACAAATCGAGGGAGTGTGCAGCTAGGAACTGCACAGTGCACGTCGCTTCGCAGCACATCCTAGACCTTCCCCCCCTTCCCCCCACCTCCTTCGCTGAAAGTCCCTTTTTCCTTATGGATCCCTACGGGCCCTACCCTACCCCCATTCACAAACTCGCTCTGTTTTAGGTATTGGCTGACTGCTCGCCTCGATGCTCCCCTCACTGCCCTCCTGCCCAATGCCCCTCTGCCTTCCAAGCCCCTCCGTCCGTCTCTTCTTCAGTCCTCCATACCAAAGCCAGGCCTTCCACATTCCCCTCCTTTTTCTTCCCTCCCCTCCCCCCCCCTTGCACCTGTCGCAGGTACTGGCTGCCTGCTCGCCTCGATGCTCCCCTCACGGACCTCCTGCACCACGGTCGGCTCTTTGTCGGCCAGAAGATACGGGTCAGTGCCACTCTTTTTCCGGGGAAGAAAAAAAGCAAACAAAAAGCGATACAAACCATCCTTTCTCCCATCTTGCTATTTCGAGCCAGCTTGTGCATTGCTCGTCAGTGCATGCCACTTCCCTTGCCTTTATACTGGCTGAAAATTGAAATCTCGCTGTTGCGAATGACAACCGTAATAATTCTCATTTCTTCGTGCTCCTGGCTGGGCCCAAGTATGAGCCCTAATCTGCCTCCTCCCTGCTCCTCTCCACACCGTCCCACCCATGGCAGGTGTGTGGGGCCATGCTGAATGGCTGCATGGAGGGCCTGCCTCCACTCGAGGTATCTCGAGGTATCTCGAGGTATCTCGAGGTATCTCGAGGTATCTCGAGGTATCTTCCCTTCGCACTTGCCTCACCTTTCCTGATTTGTTCTCTCCCTGCTCCCCCTACATCGTCCCACCCACCCATGGCAGGTGTGTGGGGCCGTATTGAATGGCTGCATGGAGGGCCTGCCTCCACTCGAGGTATATCCCCTTCGCACTTGTCTCAATGCTCCTGCTCTGCTCATCCTCTTCCTTCCTCCCAACCCCGTTTCGACCCGTCTCATTTTCTTTCTGGAGCCGGCTTCTGCGTCTGCTTTACTAATTTCCTGCGCGTGCGCTCGTCAGCTGCCTCTGCGGTTTGTCTCCCTTCCTTCTTCCACCCTTTTGAACCCCCATCTCCCCTTGACCTCATGGTCACTGCAGGCACACTCAGCTTCCACCCTCTCCCTTCATTTCAATGGCACCTACCCAGCTCACTGGTGTACCAAGCTTGGCTTCTGTACGTTTCCCACAGACAGATTCACTTGCGTTCGTTTTTGGTCAAAACCCCACCCAACCGTTTTAGATTTGTTATCGATCCTTCTGATCCGTGAGGCACCTCACCCAACCGCAATCAAACGTACGCGCTGGACACGCCCTCACTTGCTGGCTGATATCGAAGCTTGCTGGCTGATATCCGTCTGAAGGCTTCTGTACGTTCCCCACAGATTCACTTCTGTACGCGCCCAACAGACGGATATCAGCCAGCAAGCTTCGATTCCAGCGAGCAAACATGCCGTCCATATTGACCCTCCTCGCTCCCCGGCGCTTCTGTCGCATCTCTCTGTGCCAGCTTCCCTACCTTCACTCCTTGCTGCTCCATGTTTCATTCCTCCTCGTTGCTCCCTCCCTCCCCCGCCCTGACTCTCCATCTATCCACATCTTATGCTCTGCTCCGTCTGCCTTCCCCCGCTACAGGCCGACAGAAGCCGCCCGTCCCAATGGCATTGCGCAGAGTGAAGGACGATGGGGGCCCCATCCCCCTCACCTGCGTGGCCATAGCCCGGGTCTACCCCACGCTCTTCTGGGAGAAGAACTGCCGGAGGGAAGGAGACGGTGGCAATGGTGGCGCTACTGTGCCGGGCGGCACGATGCGCTCAGCGAGGGCTGAGGCGGTGGCAGTGCGAGAGTTTGAAACGAAGTGAGCTAGTCGCTGGGGTGGGTGGGAGGGTTGTTGGGGTGAGGTGCACTCGAGATTGATGGAGTTGGGGTGATGCTGGGGATTGGGTCGGTGCTTGGGTGTGTTTCACCTCTTCAAGTTTCTTTTTTCCCCTGTCAATTCCTCACACTTTGGTTTGTGGCTGACTTAAAGCCCGACCGAGACTCATCATTTTGCGATAACTGTTTGATCCAACCCACTGCAACACAGTGATTTCAACCTCTACCTTTCCCCTGTTCCTTGCACCAGGAGGGAGCAGGTAGCAGAGAGGGCGAGTCTGGAGGCCGAAAAGAAGTTGTTGGAAGAAGAGGCAGCAGAAGCAGCGGCCAGGGGGGTGAGGGGAAGTGCAGGGGGGGTAGGAGGAGGTAGAGGAGGCGTAGGGAGAAGGGGCGCGGGAGGCGGGAGAGGGGGGAGAGGCGGGGCGCTAAGGGCGGCAATGGGGAGAGGGAGGTCTGCTGGGTTCTCGTTAGGCCGGGGCAGGGGAGGGCTGGCGCGGGCGGAGAGGGAGGGGAGTCAGCTGCTGCTGGAGTTTGATGCTAGCGGTGACCCGGAGTCGTTCCTGCATGGGCTGACAGGGGAGCAACGAGCTGCCATGGAGAAAGCTCAGCTGCAGAGAGTGGTGAGTGGGGCGTGGTGTGTGGGGAGGGGTGTGTGGGGAGTGGTGTGTGGGGAGTGGTGTGTGGGGAGTGGTGTGTGGGGGAGTGGTGAGTGGGGAGTGGTGTGTGGGGAGGGGTGTGTGGGGAGTGGTGGGATGACACAGGTTAAGAGGGAGGGAATTCGTCTTTGCATGGGCTGACTGGGGAGCAACGGACGGCCATGGAGAGAGCCCAGCTGCAGAGAGTGGAGAGTGGTGAGTGGACAGTGGTGAGTGGGGAGAGAAGCGACTGGAAAATGACACAGAGAGGAAGCGGTTGGCTTCGCTTTTCAGGCCTCAAGTCTGGTGTTATGGGGTCGTTCCTGCATAGGCTGACTGGGAAGCGACGGAGGGCCATGGAGGCTCCCCAAGTCCCTCTCCTTCACTCCCTATGCCGCCAGCGCTTCATCCACTGCTTCCTCCACTGTGCTGCGGGGGAAGCTCCTTCTCTTCATCTTCCCGCGACCCCCGCTTCCCCCTTGCCACCGCAGGAGCGAAGGAGGAGCGCAGTGCAGGAAGCGGTGGACGAAGCGCTGGCAGAAGAGGGCGTGAAGGAGAGGGACGTGTGCTCGATGGTGAAAGTGAGGGTGGTGGGGCTCACAGGGGCGAAGAGAGCACGAGAAGAGATGATGGGAGACGACGGGGAGGGAGAAGACGAGAGGGAAGAGGAGGAGGAGGAGGAGGGGGAGGGGAGCAAGAGGGTGCGTCAAGGCGAAGGGTTCATCAGCATCTGGCGGCCGAGTGAGGAGCAGGTGAGTGGGACCTGAGCGCATGGCGTGGCGTGGCATGGCATGGCACGAGGTGCGGTTAGTCAACGGTAAATTATCACTCGGTGCTGGTCAAGGGGAAGGGTTCATCAGCATCTGGCGGCCGAGTGAGGAGCAGGTGAGTGGGACCTGAGCGCATGGCGTGGCGTGGCATGGCATGGCACGAGGTGCGGTTAGTCAACGGTAAATTATCACTCGGTGCTGGTCAAGGGGAAGGGTTCATCAGCATCTGGCGGCCGAGCGAGGAGCAGGTGAGAGTGGGCTGCATGGCATGGCATGGCACGACAAGAGTGAATGGTAACTGCCCTCTCACATATGGTGCAACACAGTCGTATCACCAATTCTGAGGTTATTTCCCGCCCCTCCTCCTTCTCCCCTACTCTCAGCTGCAGGAATTGGCGGAGGGCGAAGTGTATCTGGTGGCTGGTCTTCAGCCGTCCGCCACACGGCGAGACGCCATTGGTTCCCTGCTCTCCCTCAACGCCAACCGATCCACCAAGTGGCGCCGAATGAACCGTGCAGCGGTGCAGCGGAGTCTCAGGTGCGTCTGTTCACAGGAGGGTCTCTCCCACAGTACGTTTAGGAATAATAATCAAACCTGCCTGCCTGCTGTTGCTGCTGCTGATGATGCTGCGGCTGCTGCTGCCGCCTGTTGCCACACTGGTGCAATTTTACCTTTTTCCTTCCCGTTTCTCCCTCTCCAATACAGGTTCTCCTTCCCTCCTCGCCGCTGGACCCCTCTATCTGCTCTAACGACCATCCCCCTGGGCAGGGAAGCGGACGTGGTGGGAGTGGTGCTGGCAGTGGGCGAGCCATATACCGTGGGGGCGTGGCAGAGGGGGCAGTGGGTGCTGCTGCTAGATGGGTCGGGGGAGAGAGAAAGCTGGAGTGATCGGAGGGGTGTGGGAGGGAGAGGTTTGGAGGGGAGGGGCGGGGGAGCAGCAACGGCAGCAGTAGCCAGAGCAGCAACAGCAGCAGCAGCAATAGCAGCAACAACAGCAGCAACAACAGCAGCAGCAGGAACAGCAGCAGCAGCAACAGCAGCAGCAACAACAGCAGCAGCAGCATCAGCAGCAGTGGTTACAGCAGTTACAGGATCAGCTGCAGCTCCTGCGTTAGGAGCACTAGAAGTAGCACTACCACCGACACCAGGAAGGGAAGCATCGTCAGTACCGGCTGCGCCACCCATGTCAGGAGCAGAACAACCATCTGCACGTGCGCCACCTCCAGCCATACCCCAACCCATGCACCAGGGTCGGGGGAGGCCCGGATTGGTTGGGGGAGGGAGGTTTGGAGCAGCAGGCAGGAGGGTGGGAGCGAGGGGAGGGATGGGCGCAGGGGGAAGACAGATCCGAGGCAGGGGTAGTAGCAGACAATTGCATACAATTGGTCAGCTTCGGGGATTTGGGTTGACAAGAACGGGCGAGCAGGGAGGGGCCATGCTGAGAGAGGGAGGGGCAGGATGGGGAAGTTCCAACGCCACACGGCCTGGTGGATGGCCAGGAGGGGGAGGGGGGGGAAGGGGAGGAGGGGGGGGAGGGGGACCTGGTGAATCTTCGGTCATAGTTCCATCTGCATTGAAAGTGCCAGGGCTTTCTGGGGTCGGAGCAATGGCAGTTACTGGAGGGGGAGCAGATGCACTGGGTGGGGTGGCAGGAGGAATGGAGGGGGGGGATGGCAGTGCTGCTGCAGTGGTAGCTGTGCAGGTCTTGGCTGGGGACCGGGCCTTTGTTCCTCTCGATCCTTCTCTCACGGGCTCCATTGTGAGTGTGACTGAAAGAGGAGTAATGTCGAAACCTGTCTCAGGTTGGATAGGGGCCTGTGAAACTCCTGCCATGTCTCCATCTGCCGAGGTACTTGCTTTGATATTTTACCTTTGCTCCTCCCACCATGCCCTCTCTGCTTCTGTCTATTGTTCTCACTCAATAAATCCCTTTACTCCTAGTTTCCCTTCTCCCATAATTGCCTCTCGTCCACCCTATCTCCTCCCCCCCTCCTCCTCCCATCCTCCCATCCTCCCACATGTATTTCGTCCCCCTGGTGTGAAGGTGTCGTGGCGGAACCTTGTGCGACGGCCGGGCTGCTTCTTTGGAGAGGACGGGGTTTGGATAGCAGAAGCGACAGATGCGGCAGAGATGTCGCTCTCTCCACATTTTTCCAGAGATGCTGGCGAGAGGTCGGCTGTGGATGCCTTGGCTAAATGGCGGAACAGAAACACCCAGGTACTGGGTTTTGAGGGGTTTCCAATTGTCGATTTGATTTTAAGCATGCCAAAAAAAAAAAGAGGTTCACCTTTGTCGCTGACTTGTGCTAATTTCCTACTTTTGGATTGCGCAGGTTGTAGAAATTTCGCGCCAGAGGTTTTGGCCTCTCTTGTTCAACGGTAGAAAAATATGATTCTAGGTTTGCATAATGGATGTCTGATGAGAATCATACTTTCTGCACAATTATACAATAGGAAGCACAGTTAATCAATGTACGCGGTATTGAGCTGAGTGGTGACCACCAGCGGCCAGCTCGTACGGTGGAGCTCGCACGCACGAGTGTTCCTCCACCCCACTCTGAGGAACCTGCGCCAAATTGCCAGCTTTTTGACAGCCTGAGGTTTCAAGGACCTTTCGTTTCCATTCAATTTCACGTACAGAAATTGTCACTGTACCGAGGACTAGATTGTGAGAGTTTCAGTCCGGTGGCTGACTCTCTTCCAACGGTACAGACTGTTACGTTTAGGTTCACTGAAAGGAAATAAGATTTCTGTTCCAACTGTTTGTTACAGTACCTCACCCCACCACACCCCCATTCATCATGGCTGCCAAATGCTCCAACGGCCTCTGCTCATCAAATACAATATCACGTGCTGATTCTGGGGGAGTAGATTCTGATTATCAATGGTGGTCCTTCAGCATTCCCTAGTGAGGGCTAGCTGCAGCAGGCTCAACCTGGCGGGCATGATCTTATCATGCGACGGTGGGAGATCAGCAGATCCGCCGTTTGGAGAATGACGTATGATGTTTGCTCATGAACGAACGCGATTCATCGCTCCGGTCGGAGCTATGTGCGGTTCGTCGTCATACTCGCAAGGTGACCTATTCAAAGACGCTACTTTCTGAAAGCGTTCTGCTCTGCACTGCTCCGCACTGCTCGGCAGCATTCTGTCAGCTATTATTAGCAAGTATGGCAGCTGGCAGTGCTGCTGCCTGCGACGTGCGGAAACGTTTCTGTCACTTCTGCCCCCCATTCGTCGACGTCAGGACTAGAAAAGCGGGTTAGCGAAAGCCGGGCTTCTACTAGAAGTACATCTTCAGCCGCAGATCGCATTTTCGGCATTATCGCTGCATTCTCTGCATTTTATCGCATCGGCGCCTGCCGACCAGTTCAGACTCGCTGACTCCGCAATCCGAAAGCGACCACTCGTCGCCGCTCAGCGACGCCGTCAGTGCACAGAAGAGCTCGAGTCGACTCAAAAGAAGGACGACTGGCTGCCAGTGACTCCGCATTGGTCGCTTGCTTACTAGAACCTGCATCCGCACAACGCAGCGAGTCGACGTTCCGGAGTCTATTCGGACTTTCCTTCATCTCCAGGCGGGCTCTCTTTGCCTCTGCGTCCAAGCGGCGTCATCATGATGCTCCCAGCAAGCCAGATCCTGGTGCCGTTGCTTCTGCAGGACTTCGACATCAAGTGAGTTGTAGTAGTCGTGGCATTGGTCATATTTGGAAATGGACCAAGCTTAGAGCCACCGCTCCCATCTCTCCGCCTGTGCTTTAGTATTCTGCCGTTTTTCCACTGCCTGCCCATTATGCTCAAGTTATGTTTTTTTTTTCCCCTTCCCTCTCCCACCTTTTACCCTTCCCCCTTGCAGCTGGAAGCCGTCTAGTCCGCGAGGCAGCAAGCGCGTGAGGCTGCGCGAGTTCAGGCACTGCATTCCGCAGGACGGCCACGACTGGCTCAAGTACGGCCAGAAGGACATCACCGCCGGCCGCTTCTCACGGTGAGTCATGCTACAACTCTCGTAGAGCGATTACTTATTAGGACCGAAAATCCTTTTTTTTTAATAAAGGCAGCGCTTTCAATACACTTTTCTTAGAAGTTAGAGGCCCTCCCTTGCTTGAGGTGCATTTGTTGTTCTGATGTGTAGTGAAAACTTCACTTGTGACTGACTCTAACTCATCCTCTTTTTTTTTCTTTTTTTTCTTTTTTCTTTTTTTTTCTTTCTTTTTTTTTTTTTCTTTTTTTTCTTTTTCTTTCCGTGTGTCATCTCTCTTTCAGGCATTATTTCCGCTGCAGCCACTCCGACAACGGCACTCGCTGCCCTGCGCGCCGAGTCGTGGACGTGCACAAGCAGTTCGGCCAGCCTGGCACCTCCGCCCCTCCGCCACGTGTCACCTACTCCGGCGAGCACAGCCACGCCCAGCCTGGCTCCTCTGAAGAGCACCGGGCTGTTAGGCTCGACGCATTTCGGACTAGCAGCAGCAACAGCAGTGCGAAGGACGGCAGGAGCTGTGACAACTCTGGCCTGCTCACGCCCACGACGCCGAGCTCATCGCCACTTTTACTGCCGCCGCTCTCCTCGCCGCTTTCCCCGCAGTTTTCCTCGCCGCTTACTCCGCCGCTTTCCCCGCTAACTCCACTTTCCCCTGCGGTGGCGGCGTCTGTCAATGTGGTCCCGGCTCCCCTGAGAGAAGAGGCGGCGGCGGGTGCGTGGGGAACGGTAGAGTTCAAGTCAGAGTGCGTGGGTCTGGCAACGGGTAAGAGAAAACGGCAGCCTGTGGAGGCAGGTGAGGAGGTGGGAGAGTCCAAGTACGCGGGTAAGCGGCTGCAGCAGCAGCAGCAGCAGCAGCAGCAGGCTGTGGACAACGAGACTGTGACGTCCAGCGATGACAGCCTCTGGCAGTGGCTTCCAGCAATGACAGCCACGGAATGGGCTAGCGCAAGCAGCCTCTTCGACACTCCGGACCTGGGTCCGTTAAAAGCAGCTCCGATTGAGTCACCTTTGAGCGACGCGCTTGCTGCTCCAGCCAGATCGGCGGCGATGACGTGGCAGAATCTGGATGTGGTGGATGCCTCTGCTCCTCTTTCCCCCCTCGCAAGTGAGAGCAGACCTCAATGCTGCAACGCTCCCTGCACGCACTCTCAACAATCTCTTCTGGCTAAATCGGCCAGACGATCTGCAACCGACGGCTTTGCTCCTTTAGCTGGGAGCCTGCTGGTGATTGCAGAGGACGAAGCAGGAGTGATTCAGGTGGTGATGGCTGATGGCATTCAGAGGCGACAGGAGCAGCAAGCTGATTTGTTTTGTAACAATGATTCAGATCGGTGTGTTCCGGAACTTTTGGATTTCCAATTTTGGGCTGGTGTTGATGGAGCAGCGCGAGACGCGGGAGGAGGAGCAGCAGCTGATGGGTGGTCATGTGAATTGGATGCTGCTTATGGTGGCTGCGACCTTATCGGTGACATCAATAAGTGGGGCGCGACCCCCAGAAGGCAGCCTGGGGGTGTTGAAGTGCCTGGACTTGTCGGAAGATGCAACTCGCTTGTTATCTCGGAGGACTCGTTGGGCATGGTTCAAGTTAGAAGTGGAGGTGGATGGTGAAAGGGGCCTCCTTCGATCGAATGAATTAATGATAGAATAGACATGCTTCAGTCTAGTCATTGCGGATGGGAAAGGTAACATTTCATATAAAGCTGAGTGCTGTATGTGTAATTATGTCTCTAAAGTTTGGTTGAATGTTTGCTTTGCTACTATTATGGATCCCTAAAATTGGCAATGGAGGGGGCTGGTGCGCTGTGTGTGTTGTGGCCGTTTTTGTAATTCATTGCGCCGCAAGTGTGGCTTGATGGGGCGCCAGTCGTGATTGCGAAGCCCCAGTGCCAACTGCCACGTGCCGTAAGAACATTTGACCAGACTGGTTATGCTACCAGGTTCTTGCTGACAGGCGCCGAGGGCCGTCCGATCGAGCTGTCCGTCCCACATAGCGGCGACATCCCAGAAGATGGGGCGGGAAAACCCAACCAGACGGAATTCGCCCTAGAGTCAAGTTTCGCTATAAGCTAGTGTCGTTCAGACGGATTGGATTGGATGACTCCTGTCAGCCGCGCATCACCTCATCTCTCCTGCTGCGGGATTTCTGCTTCCTCTGGATTTTGGGTTTTTAGGTTAGAGGTAACCCTTACTGGCGTTTTATTCTCTTGGGTCACGTTTATTCCTTTAAAGTAAGAATTTTTCGTTGTTCCAACCTTCCAGGGCCAGATTTTTGTTCTTCGAGGTTAGTTCGCATCACAGCAAACCACGCGTCACAATCTCCTTGCTCCGTCACTGAAGGGCAACTGAACCCTATGCTTCCTGCGATATTGTCGGATCATTACTGAAAATTACTAAATCCGGGCAGGTTAGCTGGCAAGAGAAAAACTAAAACCCATAGGGGCTTGTATGCCGTTCTGCATGGCATCAACCCTAAATTCGCGGCCCTCTTGCGAGTTTAGGGTTGATGCCATCCTAGTTTCATGCGAGGCCCATAAGAGTTTTATTGTTTCTGCCCTCTGCCCAAGATTAAGGATATCGTTACACGTGGTTCTCTCTGGAACGAAATAACCTCAGAGAACAAAAATCTGCCCCCGGAGGGTTTGAACGACGAAAAATCCTTCTGTAATAGGGGCTAACCGTGACCACGGATAATAAAACTCTAGTAAGGGTTACCTTTAACCTAAAAACCCCTGGATTTTTCAGCGGGCTAGTGCTGGTGCTGCTGGTTCAACTGGGGCGAGGGAAGACTCCGATTGAAGTTCAGCAATGTTTCCCTCTTAGGCTGAGACTTGAACAGTATCTTATAGATCAGCTTCCTTCTATTGGTGCTTAGAGGCCTTTGTATCCACACGCAAGAATCCGGCCATTGTTGGTGTCTTACTGCTTCAGTAGCTTGATCTTGGTGCTGTACCTGTGGTTCTCGAGTAGATCAGTGGCGTCTTCCTAGTGGATTTCTTCCTGCTTTCAGTTGATCATTCATAGTGATCTAAAAAATCCCCGGTCAAAATGCCGCCGAGAAAGAACAAGAAGAACAAGAACAAGCCGACGGTGAACACTGGTACGAATCCGCCGCGTTGCTCTTGTGTTCTTGTGTGTCCGTTTATTCTCCAGATCCGTGAAGTTTCGTGTATCGTTTTATACCAAGTTCTCGCTTCCATGTTTCAGCTGCAGAGAAAGCGTCGTCCACGGCCAGTTCGAAAGAGGCGCCTAAGACTCCGACCACCCCGACGACTCCTGCAACTCCTGCGACTCCGTCCGATGCCACCTCCAGTAAAGGTCAGTTCAGACTCCTGCGTGGGTCGTTCTGGCAATTTTATGCTCTCCCTGTCATTTTCGCCCCGGATCTGGCAAAAATGAAAACGGGTCGCCGTATTTGCGATGCGACTGCGTGAGTTATGCCCGTCCAAGTACAGCTCGAGTGAAGAAACCGATTTTTCTGTCGGAAACCGATTCTTCTGTCGGAAACCGATTCTTCTGTCGGAAACCGATTCTTCTGTCGGAAAATGTTGCGGCAATGAGCGACCAGACGCTGGCTTTTCCCACCGCCGAGGTTTCGCAAGGGGCGGAATGAGCAAATGCATTGGGCCTTTCTAACGATACGGCGGGAAAAAAAAACACGGAAATTTCTTCGAGCAAGGGAGTTGGAACGGGGATCAAGAGCAGCTGTATGCCGATCGTGGTGGACTGTTCATGGTGCAGCTGGGGTTTTCAAATGCCACGTGAACTGCTGGCTCCGGTTCTGCCTTAACATTCTATTTGCACTCTTTTCTTGCCGTCCCAGCAGCACCTGCGGCTGCCGCTCCACAAGCCGCAGCAGCTGCGGATTCCTCGGCATCGGCAGCTGATTCGCTGAAGGTAGCTGGGGGGGTCACCGTGGCAGCTGCAGCAGCTGTAGCAGCTGCGGCTGCCGTATCTGTTGCACCTGAACCAATACCTGAGCCTGCACCAGCAGCACCTGAACCAGCACCTGAGCCTGCACCAGCAGCACCAGAACCAACACCTGAGCCTGCACCAGCAGCACCTGAACCAGCATCTGAGCCTGCACCAGCAGCACCTGAACCAGCACCTGAGCCTGCACCAGCAGCACCTGAACCAGCACCTGAGCCTGCACCAGCAGCACCAGAACCAATACCTGAGCCTGCACCAGCAGCACCTGAACCAGCACCAGAACCTGCACCAGCAGCTCCTGAACCCACGCCTGCAGCGCCAGCAACACCTGAACCCGCACCTGCAGCACTAGCAGCACCTGAACCAGCGCCTGCAGCACCTACAGCAACTCCTGCACTCACTCCTGAACCAGCTGCGGCCAAGCAGGTGACGCCTGCAGCTGAGGAGAAGCAGCCAGAAACAGAAGCCAAGGCTGCGGTGGAGGAGATACCAGCTGCTGCTGTTGCAAGTGCAGGGCCCTCGTCCGCTGCAGTTCAGGAGGAGACGAAGGTTGTGGTTTCAGAGACAAGGTCGAGCACGGGGAGTGACGCTCAGACGCCAGCAGAGGCGGAGAAGCCAGCTGAGGCAGGGAAGGAGCCCAAGGCTGTGGAGGCAGAGAAAGCAAGCGTCACAGAGCAGGTAGGACTTCTTTCGAAAGAAACGTTCGTACTGCACGTGATGTGCAGGTAGGATTTTATCTGTCTCCCACTGTCACTTGTCTTCGCTTCGCCTCGTTCCCTTCGTTCCTGCTGCTGTTTACCAGTAGTGCTGGCAGTAATCCCTCTTTGCCACGTCCAAATGCACAGCACGCCCTCAATTTCCTGGAAACCACCCCCCCCCCTCCTCCCCCCCCCCCCCCCCCCCCTCCTCTGCCTTTTTTTCAGGAGCCGATTGAGATCATTGAGCCACAGCCCTTACCGAATTGCTCTGCTCTCATCTGCTGGATCTTTGGATGGACTGCATGAGATGCCGACCGGGTCAGAAGTTTTGACCATTCAGCAGTTGGATGACAGAGAGATAACGGAGGCTTGTCTGGTAGCTGAAGCATGCAGTGCAGTGCATGAGTCTTCACCTCAATGCAGCTGAGTAAGGGTAGGGAAGGGAAGGGCATTTCCCACTCCCCTTACTGCACTAAAACCCCATCAGCTATGATTTTTCCATATGAGACGGGTTTTCTTACCACCACTGACTTTTCACATAAGCTTTAGCAGTTCTACCATGAACATTTTGTTCATGATGTGGCGTATCCACAATGCTCTTCAAAGAAGAAAGCTTCAACTGATGACTATTGTGAGATGTATAATTGACCATCACTTAGAGCGTTTTCCTACTCTTCCCAGGAAAACGCTCTTAGTGCCTTGTACTCTTGGTTATGAGAAATGTGTCCCGTCAACCCCCACAGACGCAAGCAGCAGGTGGAATTCAAGGCGTGTATCCTAGGGTTGCGCACCTGTGGGTTGCGCTGCCGGTTGCGCGGCCCACAAACCGTGACCCCGCAACGCAACTGGAACATGGGATTGCGCAACCCCGCGGGAAACCCGAACACACCTGGAACATAGGGTTGCGGTTGTTTCAAATTTCGCAAATTGAAAAATCATGAGAAATAGGTAACTGAGGAACATCTCGCCCAGTTCGCAACGGCGAAAAGTCGAAAAGGATTGGATTTCCGAAAGGCATGTGCTTTCGTCGGACCTAGATTTGGATTTCGACCAAGTGGTGGCTTCTTTGGTTCGGGCGGGCGTGGGTTTCGGATTGGGTTGCGGAAGTGGGTTCTGAAACCGGGTTGGACATGGGTTTTGCAACCCGTGTCCATTTTCACAAAAATACCTTGACGATATCCACGAAAGGTAACTATTCCGGGTTGCGCAACCCAAAGCGAAACCGCAACTGTAGGCTCCACGCCCTCAGCATTCCACGAACCCTTGAATGAGGGCGCGTTTTTACAGGAGATCCTACATGACAGGAACTGATTTGAGCCTTTTCAGGCCCGTTTGCAACTTGTCTGATCTCAACTGACAGGGTTTTGCTACGTGGAACGAGCAATTTTGCGAGCCCGTGCAACAAATCCTCATCGTGCAACAAATCCTCAAGACAGTTCCCGCGCATGTTTCACAGACCACCATTGAACGCGCATGCCCCACGGTGGCACAGACCATCATTGACTAGTTTCTCGCTGTGTGCCCGAGGTTACTACCCACACGGCAGGCAGTTAGGCAAAACCTAGGGACTTCGTGGTGAGTCAGCGACAGCGGCACGGCGGAGTTCCCAATGACGCGACAGCTCTACCTCGTAATTCTCTCACCGATATTCCCAGCTGCGAACCAGAATCCTGAGGAGCTTTAGTAGTCGCGAAACAGCAGGCATGCTGTCATGCTTTCGCGAACTCGCCTCACGAAGCTCGTTAGCCTCCAATGTCCCTGGGACCCACATACCACAAGGCACTTTGACAGCAATGCGACCACGTAGCCCGCTCGACAGCCCTCTTAGCTTTTTTCGATTATCCCTCCATTTTGTGAGGCTCGCCACGTGTCGTGAAACTAGCTCGCGCCAATGCTGCATGATAGGCGCGCAGCTCGCACTAGGAGGTTTCGCGGGAGCCACAATCTAGGCCCTTCTTTTCCATCCGTTTCGTTAGTACGTTCCTTGACCGACTATCAAGTACACTCAGCACTCACTTAGGCTGTAACAGCGGTAAACGTTACCCGTCACAGGTAAAACTCTTTTCGTGAACTTTCGCGAACGGAAGCCACCACAACAGGTTACACCAGCAGCAGCAGCAGCAGCAGCAGCACCACCACCTCTGCCTGTTTGCCCAAGTGTCGGTCATAAATCGCCAGTATGCCGTGGTTCGGAGGGAAAAAAGCAGCCAAGGCTCCGCCGCCGCCGCCTAACGGCCTGCTGCAGATCAGCGATCGCGTCTTCGGTGCGTTTTGGGGCTCGTTCAGGTTTTTTCAAGGGTGAGATGAAGGGTGTAGGTTGGTCACTGAAGGATGCCGGGATGAGATGAGATGGCTCATCCGGAGTTTCCGAAGATTCCGGATGTAGGGTTAGCTGTTGGGACGGACTGCTGCAGATCAGCGATCGCGTCTTCGGTGTGTGTTAGGTCTATCCGAAGGTCCAGGTCTTGGGATGTAGGGTTCGCTGTTAGTCGGTCGTAATTGTTTGGCGTTTGAGGGTCATGACTGCTTGCTGTTAGATGGCCGTGATTGCTTGATTTAGATGCCAATGACTGCTTGCTGCTAGACAGCCTTGATTGCTTGCTGTTCGGTTAGTGTCAGGGCTGGTGTGGGTAATAACAAGGTTGAGTCACAGGGGGACGACGGTTTGTGCAATCTGGTTGGTGCTGCATCGCTTACTGCTAAGAGATGCTGGGATGTACTATGGTTTGCTTTCAACGGTCGTGATTGTGAGATCCCAGATCGCTCTCAGGTTCTCTCCTCTCCGCCGTTGTTCTTGTCTCTTTCTCTCCCTTCCTCCCTTAATTCCTTCCTGCTCGGCCAACGACGTGCACAGCAGCCTCGTTTCCTCTCCTCTCTCTCTCTCTCTCTCTCTCTCTCTCTCTCTCTCTCTCTCTCTCTCTCTCGCTCTCTCTCTCTCTCTCTCTCTCTCTCTCTCTCTCTCTCTCTCTCTCTCTCTCTCTCTCTCTCTCTCTCCCCCTTTAGACGAATTTGGTAGGATTTCTGATCAATCAGGCGTGCGATATAGAGATTTCCGATTTCAGGCGTAACATTCCCTTCTCCTCAACCCCCGTTCTCCCTCTCTCCTTCTTTCCCTCCCTTCCAGTGTTCGATTCCTGCATCGCCAACAACTTACCCACCACAGCCACCTACCGCCTCTATTACCGCCAGATCTGCACAGACCATCACACACTGCTTTTCTGTGTTGCCTCCCATTCCCCATCTCTTCCCCCCCCCCTTCCTCCCCTCCCCCCCCCCCCCCCCCCCTCCCGCTGCCTTATCCCTTTTCTCCTTCCCTTCCAGTGTTCGATTCCTGCATAGCCAACGACGTCCCCACCACAGCCACCTACCGCCTCTACTTCCGCCAGATCTGCACGGATCTCCGCAATCAAATCCCCGACGCCTCGATCCTGATCTGCAATTTCCGCGACGGCAGCAGCGGCTCCAGCCGAACCCTCTTCGCCTGCTCCTACTTCCTGGACTTTGATGCCACAGTGCTCGAATACCCGAGACATTTCGAGGGCTGCCCGATCCTCTCGCTTGACCTGATTGACCATTTCCTCCAGTCCACCAATAGCTGGCTCCAGCAGAAATTTGACCTGCCCGGCCGCAAGTCGCAGCAGGAGAAGAAGTATTTGCAGGAGGAGGCCAATGGGGGGACACCAGCAAAGCAGCAGCAGCAGCAGCAGTTAGGGCTGTTTTCGCCGGGCGGCAACGGGCGGCGGAAGAACGTGGTCCTCCTGCACTGTGAGAGAGGCGGGTGGCCTCTCTTGGCTTTTATGGTCGCTTCGTTTCTAGTTTTCCACAAGGAGTGGTCCGGAGAGGAGGAGCGGGCACTCTTAATGAGCATCTATAAAGCCGCTCCCAAGGGCTTTTTACAGCTGCACTACCCCTTAAACCCCGTGCCGTCCCAGGCGAGATATCTACAGTACATAGCGCGCAGCGTCAGCTCTTTACCGCACTGCTTCATGGAGAAAGAAAGCAAGGATAAGAAGGGGAAGGGGAAGAAGGAGACGAAGGAGGAGGAGAGTGACTGGGGCCGGCAGGCGGTGGTGCCTTCGTCTAGAGAGGGGTGCTTGGGCGGCAGGGGCAGCCGGATGGTGATGTTGGACTGTGTGATTATGCGCGGCGTGCCACAATTGGATTCCAGGGGCGGGTGCTGCCCCGTGGTGCGGGTGTTTGGGCGGGACCCGGGTTTGCCAGACTGCAGGGACTCGGGGCTGCTATTCTTGAGTGCTCGCCATGGGGTCAATCGAGCCAAGTACTACCTGCAGGTGAGAGATGAGGTTGGTTGGGCCAAGTAACACCAGGTGATACTCGTGTTTGGGTGGGACCCTGGCCCGCCCGCCGGACTGCACGGACTCAGGGCTGCTCTTCTTGAGTGCTCGCCATGGGGTGAACCGGGCCAAGTACTACCTGCAGGTGAGGAATGAGGTAATTGAGGCCAGTACCCGTTGCAGGCGACGCATGGGGTCAGTTGGACGGCAGGCGGGGGGGATGCTGGTTTGCCCGGGTGCCTGGTTTGCTGGATTGCCGAGACTCAGGGCTGCTGTTCTTGAGTGCTCGCCATGGGGTGAACCGGGCCAAGTACTGCCTGCAGGTGAGGGATGAGGTTGCTGCCCCGTGGTGCGTGTGTTTGGGCGGGCCCCGGGTTTGCTGGACTGCTGCAGGACTCGGGGCTGCTATTCCTGAGTGCTCGCCATGGGGTGAACCGGGCCAAGCACTGCCTGCAGGTGAGGGATGAGTGCCCCAAGAGGCATGGGATGCGAGGGGGGGGTGCGAGGGGGGATGCGAAGGGGGGTGCGGGCGAGGGGGGGGGGTGCGAGGGGGGGGTGCGTGCGAGGGGGGTGCGTGTGAGAGGGGGTGCAGGGGGGGGTGCATGCGAGGGAGGGTGCGAGGGGGGTTACAGTAGAGCCAAGGTATTTCCTGCATGTGAGAGGGATGGGGTTAGTGGAGTCACGTACTTGGTGCAGGTGGGGTAATTGATCCAAGTAACCCTCTCTCCTCCTCCTCCTCTTCGTCCTTTCTCCATACAACCAGAGAGACGCCAGAGGTGGTGAAGATCGGTGTGATGGCAGTGGTGCAAGGGGCAGTGGTGCAAGGGGCAGTGGTGATACTGTGACAAAGTGCGTGCACGTGGACGTGGGGGGGGGTGGGCAGCGAGCCTATGGTGTTCTCCTCCCCTCTCCTTGTTTCCTCTACTGCCCTTCTCCCCCATCCCCCCCATCCCCCCCATCTCCCCCATCCCCCCCATCCCCCCATCTCCCCCATCCCCCCCATCTCCCCCATCCCCCTCATCCCCCCATCTCCCCCATCCCCCCCATCCCCCCATCTCCCCATCCCCCCCATCCCCCCATCTCCCCCATCCCCCCCATCCCCCCCTGCAACCATTGGGACGCAGAAGTGGTGAAGATCGACGTGATGGCAGTGGTGCAGGGCGACGTGGTGATAGAGTGCGTGCACGTGGACATGGAGGGGGGATTGGCAGCGAGCAGAATGTGCTCTTCTCCCCTCTTCCCCCTCCATCTTCCTGCTTATCCTCCCTCCTGTTGTCCTCCCTCCTCTTGTCCCAACCAGAGGGACGCCGAGGTGGTGAAAGTCGACGTGATGGCAGTGGTCCAAGGCGGGTGGTGATGGAGTGCATGCACGTGGACATGGAGGGGGCGGGCAGCGAGCAGAATGTGTTCTCCTCCCCTCTCCTTGTTGCCTCTACTGCCCATCCCCCCACCCCCCCTGCAACCAGAGGGACGCCGAGGTGGTGAAGATCGACGTGATGGCAGTGGTGCAGGGCGACGTGGTGATAGAGTGCGTGCACGTGGACATGGAGGGGGCGGGCAGCGAGCAGATGGTGTTTCGAGTGGCGTTCAACGCCGACCATGTGCGGTCCAACATGCTCGTGCTCTCAAGAGACGACCTCGACATCCTCTGGCACAATCGGGAGCGATTCACCCAAGACTTCCGAGTCGAGGTGAGCTTTCTGTAGGTGTGCTGGTGGGTTTTGACCGGTTGACTTGAGTCAACGCGGCAGGCAGCGCCCGGGCCATGTGCGATCCAACATGCTCGCGCTCTCCAGAGACGACCTTGACTCGACATCCTCTGGCACAATGGGGAACCATTCGCCCAAGACTTCAGGGTTGAGGTGAGCTTGCTATTAGGGTTTGGGTGAGTTTTGACCGGTTGACTTGAGTCAACGCAACTTTCAACAAGACGACGGGCCATGTGCGATCCAACATGCTCGTGTTCTTTAGAGGCCACCACTTTTGAGGCGCCCCAAAAGTGGTTGACTTGAGTCAACGCAATTTTCAACTAGACGACTATGTGCGATCCAACGTGGTTGTGCTCTCCACAGACGACCTCGCCTCGACATCCTCTGTGGGCGAGCGATTCACCCAAGATTTCAGAGTCGAGGTAAGCTTTCTGTGTGAGCTTTCTTTGCTAAGCGCTGGGTGAGTTTTGACTGACTAGCAGGCAGCACAGGCCATCCTACCTACCCACACCCTCTCTTTCTCCGTTGCCCTACCTACCGACGATTTCGGCGGGTTGCCCCGGACTCGTTCATGAAGCTCAAGGAGGCGTTCGAGGACTCCCTGCCCGTCTTGGCCTCTCTTGTATGTACCCGGCCAATTCGGGTGCTGTCATCTACAGTACAGTCTCCCTCACTCCGCTCCCCACACGGTCTACACACTAACCCTCTCCTCCCTGTGCCACCCTGTACAACCCCCCCCAACCCCCCCCCCCCTCTTTTCTGCACCCTTTCTTCCAGATCCTGCTAACAGACCGGGAGTCCAAGGTACCACCTCCCCCAGCTGCCACCTCCCTGGCCACGGACGATTTCGGCGGGCTGCCCTTGGACTCGTTCATGAAGCTCAAGGAGGCGTTCGAGGACTCTGATTGGTCGCAAGACGACAGCACGCGCGCCCTAGAAGAGATCCGCCACACCCTCTACGCTGCTGCCAGCGCCAAGCGGCGAAACAGGCGCAGCGGAGGGGGGAACGGGGCCGGGGGGCGGGGGGGGCTGAGGGTGCGAACCAGGGTGCCGGCTGGGGGGAAGTGGGGGCCGGGAGGGGCGGGGTTTCCTGGGGATATGCTTGATGATAGCGATTATGCATCGGATTTGGATTCCGGAGATACTTCTCCGACTTTCTCGAGTATGTTGCAGTCTAGGGACGGGAGCCCGTCACCCTCGCGGCCGTTTGGGAGTGGTTTAGGGTTTGGGATGTTTGGGTTTACAGGGGGGAAGGTGCGAAGAAAATTGGGGTCTGAGAGTATGCTCCCACCGGGGTTGCTGTTTGCTGAGCAGACTTCGACTTGCGGGACGTATGGGGAGGAGGAAGGGTTGACTAGGAGGGAGAGGGCGAATGCCGGGGATTTGAAGATGCTGTGGTTGGATCTGGCTAATGGGCCGTCGTTGTATGCGATGGAGTGGGACCCGGAGCTGAATCCTGTTCTGGGGAAGCTTTTAAGGAGGATGTCGAAGCGGGTGCCAGGGTTTAAGCTGCCCGAGATGGGTTTGTTGGGGCAGAAGGAAAAAGGTGAGGCGGATGTGGGGAAGGAAGTGGAGAAGGAAGAGGGGAAGGAAGAGAAGGAGGAGGAGGAGGAGGAGAAGAAGGAGGAGAAGAAGGAAGAGAAGAAGGAGGAGGAGAAGAAGAAGGAGGAGAAGGAGGAAGAGGAGGATGAGGAGGAAAAGGCGGCTGCTGCTGCAGCTGCTGCTGCTGAGGCTGCAGCAGAGAGGAAGAAACAGGAGAAGCTCAGGAAAGCAGAAGAGAGACGCAAGGAAGCAGAGAGGCGGAAACAGGAGGAGGAGGAAGAGGAGAGGAGGGAGGAGGAGAGGTGGAGGGAGGAGCAGAGGAGGAGGCAGGAGGAGAGGGCTGCTAGAAAAGCGGCGCTAGCTGCCAAGATGGCGGAACCAGAGCCACCCAGTCCTAAGGCAGCCCCCCCTCCCCCTCCCCCGCCTTCTAATGCCCCCCCCCCTCCTCCTCCCCCCCCTCTCCCCCCTGGCGCACCTCCCCCCCCACCTCCCCCGCCCTTGCCTCCTGGCGCTCCTCCCCCTCCCCCTCCGCCGCCTCTTCCCCCTGGTGCTCCTCCTCCCCCCCCGCCCCCACCTCTTCCTCCTGGTGCCCCACCTCCGCCTCCCCCTCCCCCCCTCCCCCCTGGTGCTCCTCCCCCTCCTCCACCTCCCCCCTCCCCCCTGGTGCTCCTCCCCTCCGCCGCCTCCTCCTCTTCCCCCTGGGGCGCCACCACCCCCTCCCCCTCCCCCCCTCCCCCCTGGTGCTCCTCCCCCTCCTCCCCCTCCTCCTCTCCCCCCTGGTGCCCCTCCCCCGCCTCCCCCTCCTCCCCTCCCCCCTGGTGCTCCTCCCCCTCCTCCCCCTCCACCTGGCGCTCCTCCCCCTCCACCTCCACCTCCCCGTCCCCCTGGTGCCCCACCCCCTCCCCCTCCCCCCCCTGGAGCTCCCCCGCCTCCTCCCCCACCTCCAGGAAGGGGCCCTCCCCCGCCTCCCCCACCCCCTGGTGGATTCAAAGGGCCTCCCCCTCCCCCTCCTCCTCCTGGCGGGTTCAAAGGTCCCCCACCCCCTCCCCCTCCGCCTGGGGGCTTCAAGGGCGGCCCCCCTCCCCCTCCCCCGCCTCCAGGCTTCAAGGGCCCCCCTGGCGCGCCCCCTCCCCCCCCGCCCCCCGGGTTCAAGGGGAAGGGCCCCCCTCCGCCCCCTCCTCCCAAGGGGAAGTTTGGGGCTCCCCCTCCCCCTGGGGGGGCGTATGCAGGGGCGTATGGTGCGCCCGCTGCACCGCCGCCGAAGAAGAAGACCCCGCTGAAGGCGTTCTTCTGGGGGAAGGTGACGCGGGTGGTGGAGGGCAACATGTGGGCTGAGGTGCAGAAGGAGGAGCAGGTGGCCGCCACTCCCAAGTACGTTTCTCCTCTTCTTCCTCGTTGTTGTCTCGCTCTGGTTCTCATCCTCCTCCATTCCTCCCTTCCTCCCTTCCTCCCTTCCTCCCTTCCTCCCTTCCTCCATTCCTCCCTTCCTCCCTTCCTCCCTTCCTCCCTTCCTCCCTTCCTCCCTTCCTCCCTTCCTCCATTCCTCCCTCTTTCCATGTTCGCGCCTGCTCTGGGTCCGGCTTGTCTCGGTGTATTTTTTTTTAGTCAACTCAAACTGCATCCGTATATTTCTTGTTGCCCTCTTTCCATGTACGCGCAACTGGGTCCGGCTTATCCTGGTGTGGTTTGAGTCACTGCATCCCTGTCTTTTCTCTCATTCCCTACTTTTCCGTGTACTTGCCTGCGCTGGGGCCCGCTTGTCCTGTCCTTCTTCGCTAGCCTGACCTCTCTTTTGTCTGCACGTTGTGCAGGTTGGATCTGGAGGAGCTGTACCCGGAGCTGGAGGATCTTTTTTCTGCCGCCCCTCCGCCCAAGAAGAAGGACACTGGCCCCAAGAAGGAAGCCAAGCCGCAAGCACTCTCTCTCGTGCGTAACCTCTTGCCTCTTGGCAATTGGCTCTTGCCTCTTGCCTCTTGGCAATTGGCTCTTGCCTCTTGCCTCTTGCCTCTTGCCTCTTGCCTCTTGGCAATTGGCTCTTGCCTCTTGCCTCTTGCGGTGTCCTTCTGGTGTTTTTTTCTTCTTCTGTGAATGCGTGTTTTGTGCGGTGTTCTGCTTAGCGCTTTGGTTGTGGCATGTGCTGCAAGAAGGAGGCCAGGCCAAGCCCACCCCAGACGCCCCTGTCGTACATTGGTTGGCTCTTGCCTGAGTTGCCTTTGAGACGCCTCAAAAGCCCCCCCCCCCCTCCCCTCGTGTGCCTTTCGTCACTTGTTCGTTCTCCCTTTTTTATGTGGCTCAGATTGACATGAAGCGCGCCAACAACTGCATGACCATGCGTTCCAACATGAAGCAGCTTATGAGGTTTCGATCTCTCTGCTGGGCATGCTGGTCCAATCACTACCATGTCTCCTTCTGTGTTCTCCCTTTCTGCTGCGCCTCTCAGATTGATATGAAGCGCGCCAACAACTGCATGATCATGCTTTCCAACATGAAGCAGTTCAAATACTCCGAGATTGTGGTGGGTGGAGAGGTAGAGAGATGGGTGGAGAGAAATTGTGGTGCGTTGAGACTGTGGTGAGTTGAGACTGGGGTGAGTTGAGATTGTGGTGAGTTTAACTTTAAGTAGTCCGAGATTGTGGTAGGTTGAGTGCTAGAGATGTATCGAGAGAGGGGGGGAACTACGGGTGTGGGACACAGGAGGAGCCGTAGGTGACTTTTGAGTCGATTCAGATCAGAAGGCACAGGTGACTTATGACCCAGGGGCCATAGGTACTTTTTCTTGGGATGCTCTGTTCTCGGTTGCCTTGTTGCATGCACTTGTCACAGTAGCATGCGAAGACCTATCGAGGGAGGGCCAAGAGTTGCAATGCAAGTATCGCATCATCATCCTCTCCTGCATGAATGCTCTCCCCCACCATAAACCCATCCCCCTCTCCCCCCCCCCCCCCCCCAGGACGCGGTTCTGACCTGACCCTGGACAGCAAGGTGCTGGACGGGGAGTAGGCGGATGCTGCGCTGCTGAAGCCTTTGCTTTCAGCAGCACTTAAGACACAATTCTCTGCCTGCTATGCCTCCCTGTGCTATTCTCTTCGTAAACCCCTCCCTCCCCCATCCTCCCAGGACGCCATCCTGGCCCTGGACAGCAACGTGCTGGACGCGGAGAAGGTGGACGCGCTGCTCAAGTTCTGCCCCAATAAGGAAGAAGGCGAGATGCTCAAGGTGAGATGCTCAAGGCGAGATGCTCAAGGGGAGGTGAGATGAGGGGAGGCGAGATGCCTCAAGGCGAGATGCCTCAAGGCGAGATGCCTCAAGGCGAGATGCCTCAAGGGCGAGATGCCTCAAGGGCGAGATGCCTCAAGGGCGAGATGCCTCAAGGGCGAGATGCCTCAAGGGCGAGATGCCTCAAGGGCGAGATGCCTCAAGGGCGAGATGCCTCAAGGGCGAGATGCCTCAAGGGCGAGATGCCTCAAGGGCGAGATGCCTCAAGGGCGAGATGCCTCAAGGGAGTGACTCACAAGTCACCTCAGAACTTCTCAAGTGCTGAGATGCATCCTTTCCTTCTTCTCCTCCCCCAGACATGAGCAGCGAGGCGAGGAATTCCTCGCCTCGGAATTCCTCGCCTCGGAATCCGGCTATTCGAGGATTCAAACTCGGCGAAATTCCTCGCCGAGGATTCCTCGCCTCGCCTCGCCGAGGAAACGAGGATTCGGGTTTCCTCGGGTGCGGAATGTCGAGGAATTTCATTCCTCGCGAGGAATTTTTGCCTCGCGAGGAAAAATTCCTCGTGTCATTTTTTTCCAGCGCGCCTCGGAGCGCGCTGGTACAAACACCAAAAATGGGGGGTCTGCCGGGGTTTGGTCATGCACAAATTAGAAAGCATGGGCTGTGCATGGCATAAACTGCCCTACTGGACTAGCCATATGGTTAACATTAGTGCTGCCCGGGGCTGGGGGGCGACTTTGGTAGCAAAGGTGTACAAAAACAGTCGTTCCTCTAGGTGTTTTGTACATTTCTGCCTTATTCCCCAACAAAATTGCCAAAACGAGGCGAGGAGGATTCCTCGCCTCGGGGCGAGGAATTTTCTCTCGGGGCGAGGAAAAAAATCCTCGCCCCCTAAACCCGAGGGACGAGGATTTTTTTTCCCCAAAATTCCTCGGCGAGGAATCCTCGCCTCGCCTCGTTTGGGCGGCGATGGTTGGAATTCCTCGGCGAGGAATCCTCGCCTCGCCTCGTGCTCATGTCCCCCCCTCCTCCCAGGGCTGTGGCATGCCCCCTGAGAAGCTGGCCAAGAGCCTCTCTCTGTCTCCCCCTCTTACCATGCCGCCATCCTCTCCTTTTTCCTCGTCTCGACTCAAAAGTCCTTTCGAGTTGACACAAAAGCATGCCCCCTGAGAGGCTCGCCAAGAGCCTCTCTCTGTCTCCCCCTCTTACCATGCCGCCATCCTCTCCTTTTTCCTCGTCTCGACTCAAAAGTCCTTTCGAGTTGACACAAAAGCATGCCCCCTGAGAGGCTCGCCAAGAGCCTCTCTCTGTCTCCCCCTCTCACCATGCTGCCATCCTCTCCTTTTTCCTCGTCTCGACTCAAAAGTCCTTTCGAGTCGACTCAAAAGTCCCCTCTTACCATACCCCATCCTCTCCTTTTTCCTCTGCCCTCCTCCCAGGGCTGTGGCATGCAGTGGCATGCCCTCCTGAGAAGCTGGCCACGTGCTGTGCTGAGATGCGTCTCTCTCAGGGCTGCCTTTACACGTTCCTGAATTGCCTCTCACTTCTTCTCCCTTTTGCTCTCCTCTCCTCACTTCCCAGGGCTGTGGTATGCTCCCTCACAAGCTCCCTCACAAGCTCGGCAAGTGTGAGCAGTTTTTCTCATGCCCCTCATTGCTCCTTCCTCTCCCCCCAGGGCTGTGGTATGCTCTCTGACAAGCTCGGCAAGTGCCTCTCCCTGCTTCTCGTACAGTCCCTCACGCCGTTCCGACAACCCCCCCCCCCCCCCTCCCAACCTCCCTCCCCTTTCGCCCCCCAGGGCTGCGGCATGCCCCCTGAGAAGCTGGGCAAGTGCGAGCAGTTCTTCCTGGTGATGCTGCAAGCGTCCCCCTCCCCCCGGCCCTGTGGCATTGCCCAAGACTCTCGCTTCCTCCCCCTCCACTCTTTTCCCCCCAGGGCTGTGGCATGCCCCCTGAGAAGCTGGGCAAGTGCGAGCAGTTCTTCCTCGAGATGCTGCGAGCGCCGCGTATCGAAGCCAAGCTCAAGATCTTTGAGTTCAAGCTGTCGTATGACCAGCAGGTGTGTGGCTGGCTGGCTGACAGGTGAGTGCGTGAGTGACAGGTGAGTGCGTGAGTGACAGGTGAGTGCGTGAGTGACAGGTGTGTCTCTCGCAGCAGCAGGTGCATGTGCACTGCACTGGCATGACCAACAACAGGCATGGGAGGGTATCTAAGCCAAGCTCAAGATCTTTGAGCTCAAGCTGTCATACGACCAGCAGGTGCGTGAGATAAACTGGTGTGACCGAAAAGTATGGCAACAGGGGCATCTGATTAGCTGGTTTGATCAACACCTGTGCGGTGCGTTTGAACATCTCAACAGGTACCTCTCACTCCCCCTCTCGTGCCCTCTTCCTCCCTCTCTCCCCCGCCTCTCCCCCCTCTCTCCCTCCCTCTCCCTCCCTCTCCCTACCTCTCCAACCTCTCCCCCCTCACTCCCCCCCGCTACCCGCCTCTCCCCCCTCACTCCCCCCCGCTACCCCCCTCTCCCCGTCTCCCCCCCACTCTCCCCGTCCTACCTCCGAGTTCAGGGGTTGAGGTTTCAGGAAACACAAAGGTTGCGATTGAATTTTGATTCTATGTGGTTTTCCTTTTTCTGCAAGTCAGGGGTGTGCACGTGTGCGTTTGTGCTTTGCAAATTGCAATGATGATGAATGTATGTATGTATGTATGTATGTACATGTAAACTTCCGGGCATGTCAAATGTGTTTCGTTTCTCTCTTTCAGGTCAAGGATGTGCGGGGCAATATGGACCTCGTGTACAATGCTTGCAAGGAGGTGCGTGTGACTATAGAGAGGTTTGGGTTGGGTGTGAAGGATGAATCCGATTGTAAGGGTGGTGTGTACAATACAATCGCGTTTCGATATATGTATGGTTATTTGTGTGGCCATAAGTAGGTCTGTGACTGTAATCAGGCATTTTTATAGAAAGGGGCTTAGCTAACAATCATGCAGGGAGGCGAGTGTGTCTGTAGAAAATTGTGGCTGTAGAAGAATGTGGCTGTAGAGATTTGTGGCTGTAAAGAAATGTGGCTGTAAAGAAATGTGGCTGCAAAGAAATGTGGCTGTAAGGCTGCCATGTGGGTGGGTAGTCCCGCCCTACCATGCGTCCTATCCTGCGAGATCTTGATTGCTGTCTCTGTCTGCTATTCACTCCTTCCTTTCCTGAGCGAGTCTATTTTTGAGGCGCCTCTAAAATAGGCCTGTCACTCCTTCCTTTCCTGTGTGAGCACTGACTAAGGTTTTTTTCTGCGCTTTTTTCCCCTTGGCTCTGTCGCTTCTCTCTCCTGCCCCCTCCCCCTTCCTCTCTATGTCCGGGAGTCCAAGAGGCAGCGCAGGATAATGCCGACCATTCTTTTGCTGGGCAACGCGCTCAGCCAACGCCCCTCCTCTGCTCTCCCCCTTCCCCCAGCCCACAGGTCCGGCAGTCCAAGCGGCTGCGCAGGATAATGCAGACCATTCTGTCGCTGGGCAACAACGCGCTCAACCAGGGCACTGGTGGGGGAGGGGCCAGCCGTTGGCTTCACGCTCCAAGCATTCCCTCTCCTCTCGTCCCTCCTGTCCCCCTCCTTCCCTATCTCCCTTGTGTTGACCAGGTGCGCGAGTCCAAGCGACTGCGCAGGATAATGCAGACCATTCTGTCCCTGGGAAACGCGCTCAACCAGGGCACGGCGAGGGGGTCCGCCGTGGGCTTTAAGCTCGACTCCCTGCTCAAGCTGACCGACACCAAGACGCGCAACAACAAGATGACGCTCATGCACTATCTGGCCAAGGTAGGGCCCTCCCTTCCCTTGGTTGGGACTTTGACTGCCCTGCCCTGCCCTGCCCTGCCCTTCACCCGCCTGTTTGAGCTGACAGCCACCAAGAAGAAATGCAAACAACTTTTTGGCTAAGGTACCGCGTATCGAGGGGATTCAAGGGGGTCAGCCGTGGGATTTAAACTTGACAGCCTGCTTTAGCTGACAGTCACCAACAAGATGACGCTCGTGCACTGTGGTGATAGCTGTAGTGGCTGCACTGTGGGGACAGCTGTAGTGGCTGCACTGTGGTGACAGCTGTAGTGGCTGCACTGTGGTGGTGAGGCGTAAAAGTTCAAAATTGCAGATACCAAGTCCCCTGCATCCTGCCCCCTACCCCCTGCCCCATGCACCCGTCCCCCTCAGGTCCTTGCTGACAAGCTTCCGGAGCTCGCATTGTCCTGCACCTTTGAAGTGCTCGCCTCTGCATACATACCCCCCGCTGTGTTCCCCCTGCCCCCTGCCCCCTGCCCTCTGCCTCCTGCCTCCTGCCCCCGCAGGTGCTCACTGATAAGCTTCCGGAGCTCGCATTGTTCTGGGAGGAGTTGCCGTCCCTGGAGCCCGCCCACAAGGTGCGTCCCTGGAGCCCGCCCACAAGGTGTGTTTGTAGAGCCCGGCGACAAGGTGCATGTGTGGAGCCCGCCCACAAGGTGCGTCTATGGCAATTAGGCGTATTATTGTATCGTCCTGTATTGGCAGGCACTTGTAGGGCTGTGAGGCGATGCAGCAGCTCACCAGCGGCACCACCAGGCGGACTGTGCCTCTGACCACCACCAGCGGCACCACCAGGCTGGACTGTGGCTCTGACCACCACCAGCGGCACCACCAGGCTGGACTGTGACCACCAGATTCTCGTCCTCTCTCCGCCTTTATCTCCTTCACCTTTTCTGTGTCATGGTTGTCCCTCGTCTTAGACTGTCATGTCTGTCTGTCCCTCATCTTAGATCCAAGTGCACTTTTTTTTGGTCGACTCAAAAACAGGCCTTTATCTCCTTGTGTATTTAGAGTCGCCTCGAAGTACACTTTTTCTTAGTCGACTCAAAAGCAAGCCTTTATCTCCTCTTACCCTTTTCTGTGTCCTGCCCCGCATCTCACATCCAAGTGAAGCCGCTAGGGGAAGTCTTTTTTTAGAATCCTTTTTTTTTAGAATTCTCAAGAATGACTTTTTTGTATCCCGACCCTCGTGTTACATCCAAGTGAAGCCGCTAGGGGAAGAAAAGTAGCTCGAGTTAGAGGAAGAGACGCAGCAGCTCGCCAGCGGCACCACCAGGCTGGAGCCGCCTTCCCTCGTCCCAGCCACCCTCTGTTTGTCTCCCTCCCTTGCCTCAGATCCAAGTGAAGCAGCCAGAGGAAGAGGTGCAACAGCTCACCAGCAGCGGCCCCACCAAGCCGAGAGGGTGACCCGTCACTCTCCCCATTGTCTTCTTACGCTTCCTCCCCCCCCCTCCCCATACAGATCCAAGTGAAGCAGCTGGGGGAGGAGATGCAGCAGCTCACCAGCGGCACCACCAAGCTAGAGCGCGAAATGGTGGCCTCTGAGAGGGACGGGCCGGTGTCTGAGAACTTCAGAAAGGTGAGGGGGAGGGGGGAGGGGGGAGGGGGGAAGGGGGGGGGGGGGGGGGGGGGGAGGGGGGGGGGGGGGGGGAGGGGGGGGGATGTGGTGTGGGTGAGGGGGGGTGGAAAGCCAGTAGAGGGGAAGGAAGGGAATGAATGGAAGTGCGAAGAAGAGTTCCGTTGGATTGTCACGGTCGAATCTAAAGTTTTAGTGCAAAGAGGAGTGCGAAATGGTGGCGTCTGAGAGGGACGGGCCGGTGTCTGAGAACTTCAGAAAGGTGAGGGGGGGAGAGGGGGGGGGTTGGGGTATGGAAAGACAATTGAGTGTAGGGCAGGGGATTTGGAAGGGTTTAGAGGAGTGCGAAGAATGACGGGCCGATGTCTGAGGAGGACGGGCCGGCGTCTGAGAACTTCAGAAAGGTAAAGAGGGTTGGAGGCAGGACATGCTGAAGATCGAGAATTGTCGTTCTGCGACGCCTCTAAACTTCACTTCTATCAACGGGTAAGGAGGTGGGTGGGAGGCAGCGGACGCTGAAGGGTGGGTGGGAGGCAGGGGACGCTGAAGGGTGGGTGGGAGGCAGGGGACGCTGACGAGATGACGTTTGAGTCGACTCAAAAGTCACGGGATGCTGAAGAGTGAAAGGCGGGGAATGTATGGCAAAGAGTGCGAATAGGGGCGGGAAATGGTGGCATCTGATAAGAACGGGTTCAGAAAGGTGAGGGGGGAGGGGGGAGGGGGGGGGTAGGGAAAGCCAGTAGAGTGAAAGGAAGGGAATGAAAGGTAGCGCGGAAACGAGCGCAAAAAATGGCGGCGCATGTGACAAGGACGGGCCGGTCTCAGAGAGTTTCAGAAAGTTGAGGAGGGAGGGAGGGGGTGCTAGGGGGGGGAAAGGGAGGGTTTTGATGGGTAGGGGAGGGATGAGTGGTAGCCACCTCTGAGTTGACTAAAAAATGTGCCGTGTGACATAGTGACGCGGTGACGTTAGAGTCGACTCAAAAGTCACCTCTTTTGAGTCGACTCAAAAGGTGAGGAGGTGCCACTAGGGGGTGACATGGAAGGAAGGAGACTGAAGGGCAGCGGATGAGGGGTGGTGCAAAGGGGAGTGGGAAATGGTGTCTTGTTGTGAGGGAGGTGATCATTGATTCGACTCAGAAGTGAAGAGGGAGGGAGGGGGTTGACTAGTGAGTCGACTCAGAAGTGAGGAGGGAGGGAGGGAGGGAGATGACTGTTGAGTCGACTCAAAAGTGAGGAGGGAGGGAGGGAGGGAGATGACTGTTGAGTCGACTCAAAAGTGAGGAGGGAGGGAGGGAGGGAGATGACTGTTGAGTCGACTCAAAAGGCACCTCGGTCGAAGGGTAGGGGATGAGTGGTGGCGCCAAGAGGAGGGGGAAATGGTGGCTTCTGAGAGGGGCGGGCCAGTCCCAGAGAACTTGAGAAAGGTAAGGAGGAAGGCAGGGGGTAGGCGCGGAGGGTAGAGAAGAGTAGAGGTGGGGTTGAAATGGTGAGCATGAGCATGAGAGGGACGGGTCGGCCCCAGAGAACTTGAGAAAGGTAGTGGGGGCAGGGGGCGTGGGAGGGAGGGAGGAGGTAGGGGTAGGAGGGTGAAGGGCAGGAGGAGATGAGCAGTAGCTAGCGATTTTTTAGAATTCTCAAAGAGGAGTGGGAAATGGTGGAGTGTGAGAGAGAGGGATGGGCCGGGCCGGTGTCAGAGTACTTGAGAAAGGTAGGTAGGCGGAAGGGAGAGTGGAAGACTGGGGAGGAGCGGGTAGAAAGGGCTGATACCCAGTCAGCCGTCCCTTTCCCATCTCATCATCCCTTCCATCCATCCCTCTCCTCCCACCCTTCCCTCCCTCCCTCCCCCGGCATCACAGGTGCCCCAGGAGTTTTCAGACGTCGTCACTCATCGTAGGAAGGGCAGCAGTGCTAAGTGGCTGGCAGTCGCAAAAAACCCTCCTTCCCCTTCACCACAGGCGCTCAAGGAGTTTGCAGACGAAGCCACTGCAAGAGCCAAGGAGATGTAGGCAGTTAGGCAGTCACGCAGCCCTCCCTTCCCCACCTAGTCACCCTTCATCCATCCACCCATCTCTCCCCTCTCCCCCCCCCCTTCAAGCGCTCAAGGACGTTGCAGGCCAAGCCACTTGGGGAGCCAAGGGGTGTTCGGAAGACACTGAGATGCCCCGTCTCCCCTCCATCCATCCACCCATTCCTCCCTCCCTCCCCCACCCTCAGGCGCTCAAGGAGTTTGCGGACGAAGCCACTGCAGGAGCCAAGGAACTGTCAGCGTTCTATGCTGACGTGGTGGGTTGACTGGGTTGACTGGCCAAGAGGGGTAGAAGTCTGGCTGATTGGTTGAGGGGGGAAGAGATGACTGATTGGAAAGGTTCAGGAACCAAGGAGCTGGCAGCATTCTATGCTGACGTGGTGGGTTGACTGGGTTGACTGATTGAGGGGTGGATGGGCTGACAGCTTCAGGCGCCAAGGAGCTGGCAGCTCTCTAGTCTCTATGCTGACTGGGTTGACTGGGTGGACTGACTTGGTGAGGAGGATAGCTGTGAGGTTTAAGGCTAGGGTTGCTTGCCTTTAACCCTTAAACCTGCAGCGCTGACTGGTTTGGCTGGGTTGACTGGGTTGACTGTGCTGTGTGATGCGATAGGCGTGCTGTGCGGTGTGATGGGCTGAGCATGGTGAAACGTCAGCATGTGTGTTGCTGTGCAGTCTAAGAGTACCCATGCTCTCCCAAGGCGATCTTTGATTGACCTTTTTTTCTTTTTGGCCCATTGCATGTGTATTGCATGCTGTTGCATTGTGTGTTGCATGCTGTTGCGTTGTGTGTGTGGCGTCGCATTGTGTGTGTGTGTGTGTGTGTGTGTGCGTGCGTGCGTGCGTGCGTGCGTGCGTGCGTGCGTGCGTGCGTGTGTGTGTGTGAGTGTGTGTGTGTGTGTGCGAGTGTGTGTGTATGTGCGCGGTGTTGTGCGGTGGTGTGCGGCGTTGCGTGGTGCGTGCACTGTCAGTCTAAGGCCACTGACGGCCTTTCAAGATACTTTGGAGAAGACCCCGCCAAGTGCCCTTTTGAACAAGGTGAGTCCTCCTTCCATCCACCCCTGGCTTCTTCCTCACTCCCCACCCTTCCCTTTCTCACTCCCCACCCTCTCCACCCCCCTCCACCTCTCTCCACCCCCTCCGCATCCCCCCCTATCCCCCCCTCTCCAACATAACACAATCGTTGTGCCGCCGCCAACCCCCCCGTTCCCCCTTCCCCCCGTATCTTTCCCCCAGTGGCAACCGCTTTGCACAACTTCGTTAATTCATTCAAGAGGTTCCGAGATGAGAATGTGAAGGATGCTTCTTGACTCGTCCTCACACACCCCTCTCTGCCCCCTTCCACCCCCTCCCTTCCCTCTCCTTTCCCCCAGTGGCGACGGATTTGCACAACTTTGTGGAACCATTGAAGAGGTCGCAAGATGAGAACATACAGAACGCAGAGGCAGAGATCAAGCGGATCGAGAAGGAGAAGAAGGAGGCCGAGGAGAAGAAAAGGCGGAGCTGGCCGCTAAACCAGAAACGCACACCTTGATTGCACACCTGAAACCTCTACTTTTCTCCGAATTCAACCCTTCCCTCTCCCCCCTCTTTCCTCCCCCTCCCCCCCTTCACCCACTGTTGAACCTTCCTTCAGTGGCGACGGTTTTGCACAACTTTGTGGAATCGTTCAAGAGGTCCCAAGACGAGAACATAAAGAACGCAGAGGCAGAGATCAAGCGCATCGAGAAGGAGAAGAAGAAGGAGGCCGAGGAGAAGAAAAAGGCGGAGCTGGCCGCCAAGAAAGCCGCTGAGAAAGAGGCGAAAGAAGCCAAGGAGAAAGCTGCGCGGGAAGCGAAAGAGGCGAAGGAGAAGGAGGAGGGTGGTAAGGGAGGAGGGGAGGAGAAAGGGGAGGGCGGAGGAGATGGGGGAGGGGATGGGAAGAAGGATGGAGATAAGGAAGGGGAGAAGGAAGGGGAGGAGAAGAAGGAGGAGAAGAAGGAGGAGGGGAAGAAGGGGCCGATTGATATGCTTGCTGCGATCAAGAAGCGGCACGTGGCGAATGATGATGATGGGGATGAGAAGAAGGAAGAGAAGAAGAATGGGGATGAGAAGAAGGGTGGGGATGAGAAGAAGGGTGGGGATGAGAAGGTGGGAGGGAAGGAGGAGGGGGGGAAGGAATCGGAGCAGAGTGAGGAGGAGTCGAGCAGTGATGACGATGATGATAGTGAGAGTGAGGAGGAGGAGGCGACAGGAGACAAGCCGGCAGAGGGAGCAGCAGCAGCCGGAGCAGGAGGGGCAGCAGCAGCAGGTGATGCAGCAAAAGAGGGGGGAGCTGCAGCAGCAGCGGCAGGGGAGGAAGGGGCGAAGGAGGGGGGCAAGAAGAAGGTGGTCAAGAAAGTGGTGAAGAAGGTGGTTAAGAAGAAGAAGGCACCGGAAGGGGAGGGGGCGGCCGAAGGGGAGGGGGGTGAAGGGAAGAAGAAGAAGGTTGTCAAGAAAAAGGTGGTCAAGAAGAAGGATGGGGCGGCTGCTGCTGGGGAAGGGGGAGAGGGGGAGGCAGGGGCCGAAGGGAAAAAGGTGGTGAAAAAAAAGGTTGTTAAGAAGAAGGTAGCCGCTGATGCGTCCTCTTGAGGTTTGAGGTGACTAGATTGCCATTGCTGGGGGGGGTGGGAGGGGGGCGTCAGGGGGGCGGGAGGGTGGGAGGGGGAGGCACGGGGTGAAGGGAAAATGGTGGTGAAAAAGAAGGTTGTTAAGAAGAAAGCAGCTGCTGATGCGTCCACTTGAGGTTTGAGGTGACTAGATTGCCATAGCTGTGGGGGGTGGGAGGGGGTTGGGAAGGGGGGGGGGAGGGGAGAGGTGGCGAAGAGCTGATGCATTCACTTGGGTGGGCACTTCAGGAGGGGTGCAGCAGCAGCATGTGGAGGGGGAGCAGCAGCAGCAACAGGGGGGGGGGGGGAGCAGCAGCAGCAGCAGGTGTTGCTGGTGGTGTGGCAGAGAGAGAGGGGGGAGCAGCAACGTGAGGGAGGGGGGATGAGAAGGAGATGGTTGAATGAAAGTGGTTAAGCAGAATGCAACGGCAGGCGCGTCGTCTTGACTGGGGCTCGTTATTTCTCTCACGGGCGGCGGTGACTCCTTGGAAGTACAGCAGCAAATGCAGCAATAGTAGAGAGCAATAAGAGCCCATTAATGCAGACGTGAATAAAGCGCAATTTACACCCCTCTGGGGTAGGCTGTGCAGCGAGGGAGCAGTTTCGCTGGTGGCAATTCACCAAGCAGCAGTAGGGATGTACGTTCTAGGCGCCTCAGAAATAGACCTTTCCCGGGGCAGGCTGTGCAGCAAGGGGGCAGTGTAGCTGGTGACGATTCAGCAGGCAGCAGTAGTAGGGGAAGCAGAAGCAGTAGCATGAGGAGTTGGGCCATGGGAGATGATAGTTTGCTGGGTTAGTAGTAGGGCTGAGGAGCAGTGGGCCAGGAGGAACAGGAGGAGTGAGGGGGCACCAGGAGCAGTGGGGTGCGCGACGCGACGCAGAGTGTGGGCGATCGATTGGCCTGACCTGAACGAGACTGGACTGCATTAAAATGCTGTTGTGGAAAATCATGCGCAGCAGCTGCCTCGACACGTCAAGATGCTGTTCCATGTGCTCGTACGCACACGTGGTGAGTCGCACGCACACATGGTGAGTCGTACGCACACGTGGTGAGTCGTGCGCACACGTGGTGAGTCGTACGCACACGTGGTGAGTCGTACGCACACGTGGTGAGTCGTGCGCACACGTGGTGAGTCGTGCGCACACGTGGTGAGTCGTGCGCACACGTGGTGAGTCATTTTGAGTCGACTTAAAATCACGCCTGTTGACTCCACGTGGGAAAGCCTACTTTCTTCCCTGTGTGTGTTCACCTACTCATGCTGCTTCATTCGACTTCCTACTCATAATCCCCCCCCCCTCTTCTCCCCCTCTCCTCTCTCAAACGTGTTCTCTATTTCCTCTGCTGTGCCCCGCCCTTCCCTATTCCTTACCAACCAACCTCCCCTCAGTAGTCGACTATACTATCTTCCCTGTGCTCTTCTTCTTTACCGCCAACCTCCCGTCCGTTGCGATTCGCCGACTCTCATTGCTCTCCCGCCTCATGCTCCCGCCTGGTGACTAGCTCATGCCGAGTCTGTTGCTGGGACTTGTGTTACTGTGAGGGAAGCATGGTCGGAGATTTAGGATGCAACACCTGTAAATAAGTTCTTGTTCTGTTCCCACCTGCATCCATAAATATATCTACACAGCACAACAGATTGTGGTGAGGAGTCAATGTGGTGTGTTTATCCTAGCTTATTACCGGTATGGTACTGCATACGACCACACTAGCACTGAATAGCACCTAGGGGATTGCAATGCTCAGTATGGATGGCGTTGGTAGGGTGTCGTATAGCTGTGATCATTGCCGTCCTCCCATCATTTCTCAGGCATGAGCACCATATGCTACGTCTATTTCTCGTCTCTGTATGCAAGCACCATATCCTCCATATTTCGCTTTCTGTCGTCAATCAACACCAATACAGTACAATTTAATTCAGCTTCAGTCAGCCCTTCGGGGGCGTGCTATACAAAATAGAGTCAGGCCAGGCTGGTGTGTGCTGGCATGCATCCCATCTGTCCAACAAATCAGGTCAGTGAATGTTAACGCAAGCGATATGTGCTGTAGTGCATCCTCCACAAACATACAGTCCGAGATCTGACGTGGACACATTCTCTGCTACCGCTCTATTAACGAAAAGGATGGTAACTAGCAGGCCACACAGGTAATCCGGCCAATTTCCTTCACACTAAAATTATGCCCCGAACGCTAGTCATGTCAACTTATACATATTATCTATGTAGAAGTTATAGGCTAGACTGAGGTATGCTTCTAGTGAGTACAACCAACTAGTATTTGTTCTAGGTTTCCACTTCTAGTTATCATTCGTTCTCACTTTAACATGGTATCACGCGTAGGTTAGCATCCCCCACCTACCGCTTCCGCCCGTACCCTAGCTAGGCCACGTCGCGCCTCCTAGCCCCGTCGCGCCTCCTAGCCACGTCGCCCCCCTCCTGGGCCACGTCGCGCCTCCTAGCCACGTCGCCCCCCTCCTGGGCCACGTCGCGCCACCCTAGCCCCGTCGCGCCACCCTAGCCCTGTCGCGCCCCTCCTGGACCCCGTCGCGCCTCCTAGCCCCGTCGCGCCCCTCCTGGGCCCTGTCGCGCCGCCCTAGCCCCGTCGTGCCACCCTGGCTCCGTCGCGCCCGCCTGGCCCCGTCGCGCCCTGCCTGGCCCCGTCGCGCCCTGCCTGGCCCAGTCGCGCCCTGCCTGGCCCCGTCAAGCCCGCTCGGCCCCGTCGCGCCCTGCCTGGCTCCGTCGCGCCCGCCTGGCCCCGTCGCGCCCTGCCTAGCCCCGTCGCGCCCTGCCTGGCCCCGTCGCGCCTGCCTGGCCCCGCCGCGCCTCCCTGGCCGTGCCGTGGCTGCCTGGCCCCGCCGCGCCTGCCTGGCCCCGTCGCGCCTGCCTGGCCCCGTCGCGCCTGCCTGGCCCCGCCGCACCTGCCTGGCCCCGCCGCGCCTGCGTGGCCCCGCAGCGCCTCCCTGGCCCTGCCGCGCCTGCCTGGCCCCAGCCGCGCCTCCCTGGCCCCGCCGCGCCTGCCTGGCCCCGCCGCGCCTGCCTGGCCCCGCCGCACCTGCCTGGCCCCGCCAGCACCTGCCTGGCCCCACTGCACCTGCCTGGCCCTTTCGCCCCGACTCGTCCTGCCGTGCCGCCTCGGGCTCCGTCTCCTCTGCTCGCCCGTGCTGAGGCGCGTCGCGGCCGCCGTGCAGGAGGGGGCTGTCGCGGTGTTCCTGCGTCGCTGTGTTCCTGTGGAGCCGTGTCGCTCCCTGCCCTTCCTCCCTCGACTGCGCCACCGTGCACGCCTTGCGTCGAGGGTCGGCTCCGCCGTGCTCCTCACTCCTCCTCGCTGCGTCCTGCTACTGCCCCCCTTCAGACCCTGCACCTGGACGTTTGGGGCCCTGCCCCCGTCCCCGGACCGCGCGGTGAGCGCTACTTCCTTGTGCTTGTCGACGACTACACGCGCTACACCACGGTGTTTCCCTTGGAGCGGAAGGCCGACGTGCCCGACGTTCTTCTCCCGTGGGTTGTGGCTGCGCGTCTCCACCGCGGTCTCCCCGTGTTGTGTCTCCACTCTGACCGTGGCGGCGAGTTCGCCTCTGGTCGGCTTGGACAGTTCTGTCGTGCGGAGGGCATCACCCAGTCGTACACGTTGCCGGACTCGCCGCAGCAGAATGGGGTTGCTGAGCGCCGCATCGGCTTGGTCATGGAGGTCGCCCGTACCTCCATGATCCATGCCGATGCCCCCCATTTTCTGTGGCCGTTCGCTGTTCGCTACGCTGCTCACCAGCTTAACCTGTGGCCACGCTCCCAGCGGCCACAGGTTTCGCCGACCCTCCTTTGGACCGGGTCCCCCGGTGACGCGTCTGCGTTCCACGTCTGGGGCTGCCTTGCTCACGTTCGTGCCTCTGGCACAGACAAGCTCACTGCCCGCACTGTCCCCTGTGTCTTCCTCGGTTTCCCCCTGGACTCGTCTGACTGGCTTTTCTACCACCCGCCATCTCACCGCTTCCTCCACTCTCGTGACGTCACCTTTGACGAGTCCGTCTCCTTCTACCGCCGCTTCCTTCACCGAGGTCTCCCAGTTTCCCCCCCCCTGTTCCTTGCTCCCTCTCCCCCGGTAGCCCCTGCCCCTCTCCCGCCTCGTCCTGCCCCATCTGGTGTCTCTCACGTCACTCCCCTCCCGTCGGTTGTCCCCGTTGAGGACTCTGCTGACTCTGGTGGTACCCCCGGTCCGTCCTTGCCGCGCCCCCCTTCCCCGGTGCCTCCTCCCCCACTGTCGCAGTCGCCGACCCCGCTGCCGCCGCCGTCGCCGTCGCTGCCGCAGCCGCCGCGGCCGTCGCCGCCGCCGCCGTCGTCATTGCCGCAACCGTCGCCGTCGCTGCCGCAGCCGTCGCCGCTGTCGCCGCCGCCGCAGCCGTCGCCGCCACTGCCGCCGCCGCTCTTGGCCCCTGGGGGTGCTGGTGTGGAGGAGGGTGTTCGTCCTGCGGCTTCTGGGGGTGCCGCTGGTGTTGGAGGGGGTTCTCGCTCTGGGGGTGTTGGTTCTGGGGGTGCTGCTGTTGAGTGTTCTGCCGACGGTCGTTCTGCCTCTGCTGGTCCGAGCGTTCCGGCCCAGCCGTCGTCGCCGCCGCAGCAGCCGTCGCCGCCGGTCTCCGCTCTCCGCCTGCTCGGCCTTCCCTCCCCGGACCGCGCGCCGGTGTCTTCCCCACCGCCTGCTGACCTTCCTGTCTACGGTCCTGTGTTCCCGCCGCCGGACTCGTCTCCGGCCCGTCTTCCTCCTCGTTCCCTTCCTGTGTCTCCTCCGCTGTCCCCTGACCCTACACCTCCGTCTCACGTTTGGGCTCGCCATCCCTCCCGTGCTCGTCCCGTCTCTCCTGTCCTGCCCACCCACCCTATGTTGCTCCGTTCCCGCTCGTCTCGTCCTCCCCTCCTCCCTCGTCCCTTGCTGTTGCACCTCCTCCGTTCTCTGACTACCTCCGTGCTGCTCGTCCCCTTGTCCCTCTGGTCCTTGCCTCTCTTGTTACCGACCCTG